CTAGATCGAAATCAATCCTGGAATTCTCTTAAGAATTTCAAATGTATGTGTATTATGTCATAATGTTTATCTTCGTCAAATTTATGACAATTTATGCACATTTTATTCACGATCGTGTATCCATGTAAAAAATAACTGAGATGAGAGGGAAAGGAAGGAAGAACTTTATATTATTGGAAACTTTTGAGAATGTATTATTATGTGAGATTTCATCGCTTCTGCTTCGAGACCCACATTTAGCGCTAAATGCACCTGCATATTTGTCAGTCTATTATAATCGCTACGATTCAATGCACAAAACAAACAAAGCTGTCTCAACAATGTGTGGGACGCGAATATCCGAGAGAGTGTTTTGCGATTATAACCGCGAGAGAATTCGAGCGTGTCGGAATAGATGGTACCCTCCTCCCCTTTTCTCCTGCCTGTTTAAATTTACATATAACTAGTGCGTTGGATATATTCATCGCGCGCGTGTATCGCCTTTGACGAGGGGGCCTTTGCGAACCGGAGTCTGTTGATACCGAGGAGAACACGTGGAGAAGGAAGTCGAGATGGAGAAGAGACGAATAAAGAGAAAAAGGAGAAAAGAAATAAACTCTAGGGACGAGTCGCGACCCCAAGAGTACGATGGCCAAGATCCGAAGAGAAGAGCCGCTTACATTCTTAGCATCTTGCTTAGCCAGCGCGTTAAGTGCGCGACATGAAATTATCTTCCGCAGTAAATGGCAAGAATATTTTATCCGCACGCATGGAAATATCTCTCGACATGCACTCAGGGGAAAAATACATTTCTGTCTTGCAAGGCCGCCATATTAATTTACCTCCCTCAGCCTTTGATACTTTCGAAAGATACGTTTTTAATTAATTTTATATACATTTTTTATTTACATACATTTTATATACATTTTTTATATACATTTTATTATATTTTTAAAATTTTTTTATTACGTTTCCCTTCGAGATGAGATTTTTAATAATGCAGTATTTTAAAATTTCGGTATCAGATTATTCGAGATAATTTAATTGAATGTATGATTGAAAAATTAATTGAATATTATTTAATTAAATTATATTTTAATTATATTTTTTTAAATTAAATATATAATTAAATATATAATTAAATTATATTTTTAATTATTTTTTTTAATTATATTTAATTGATACATTTGATTATTATACGAATATGTATGTACATTATTTGAATATCTTGTAACAAATATTCACTTTTCGCGAAATCTCTCCTAAAAATAGACTCGAATCTCGCGTAAAACCTATCTATCATCAAGTCTTTACGTCAGAGATTTTCTGGAGAATATCTTACATCTATATCTGACAATGATCGATGCTTCAATTTCAATCGGATAATTCTACAATGTTCTCGCTCGGCGTAAGCTGATTTTTGTAGCTCGCAGCTACAATCGCTCGCGTTGCCAAAACGTTATCGTACACGCCTCCGTCCATGTCTGGAGATACACATGCAGTGCCAGTCAGTCGGTCGGTATACACCCCTTCAATACAGCCTAGATAGCGATTGTGTTTTTTACCAGCTCACGCACATTCAACGTCCTCCGACGATTGCCAATCGCACGGTTTTATCGAAAGATTTATTAAAAGCCCTCTGCATATTATATCAGCTGCGTGTGTCGCGTTTAACGTACATTATTTATATTGATTAAGCGCATTAAATTTCCCTGACAAATATTTTCAAATATTTAAAGCATATTTAATATTTTAAAACATTCACTAATCTGAATAGTATTGTAATATTTAATTTAAAATGTACTAATGTATACGTAAAAACCATGATAATTATGTAGACTCGTACATTAATGTATTAATATAAAATATTAATATATTATATATGATTATAATTATATATAATTATATTATATATAATGTTATATATTAATGTGTGATATTAATATACATAATTACACAATTATTTTGAGATATGTATACATATGTGAATAATTAATATATAATTTAATGCGTTTTGCGATATATCATAATAATCTTTATTACGTAATATTTGTGAATATCAGTATTCTGACTCGTGTGTATGCATGTTCGATACATCATAGTGTCAAAGTTAATTGGGTCTCCATTAAGCAGCTGCAGTTTTTTTATTCGACACGAGTTTGCACCTGCTTCACGTACGGTGCGTCGAAGCGATAAAAATCGAGACGCGCGCCGCTTCTGTGAATCGGCCACGGCTTTTGAATGAACGCGTTCAAGAGGCGTGCTTTCTTTTTGACAATCTACGAAGATGCCAACGCGGACGCCATTTGGTCGCTAAATCCGTCCGTGTTTGGGAGATTATAATTAGAACGGGAAGCTCTTGGCAAGGTCGCGCTTACACGCTTGAGACAGGTTGCGGTTACTCTTATTGCACGCAGCTCTTGCATTCGTTACAAACCGCAATTTTCTATTGGCAATATATCCTATAACACTTATCCCCTCTTAATCTCAGATTCAGAATGTCTACTTTTTGCAAAAACGTGGAGATTTTTGAATTCTCTTGGGTCTCTGGAAAAATCAGAGAATTCTCGCGGAATTTTATTGAAATTCAAAAATTCTTTTAGAGTTTTCTCTTTGATAATTTTGCTTTTTTATTGCAGGCAGACAATTCACGTTGTTTAAGCCAAGTTGTAAATTGTGTGCGTTTAAAATATATGATGTCTTAATATATTACGTATATAGAAAATCAAGGAATTTTTTTACAATATCTAAATAGATAAATTATTGTCTAGATACGCGATTCCTTTTTTTCTAATTAAAATAAATTTTTAAATTATTAAGTCTTGATGTTTTCCTCATATTTACTTTAGACGCAATCAATCTTAATTCACTTTTTTCTCTTTCTATTATTATTTTTCGCATTATATGATGTATTAAAAAGAAGATAAAGTTAAGTAAAGATCAAATAAAGAACGAGGAAATTTAATTCATTTTATGCCTTACTCCGGATTAAAGTCAATCACGCAGATAATCATCGCGTGTAAATAATTATCGTGCTTTTGTTTACAAAAAATACATTTTGTGCTAATTAAGAGATATTTTCATGATAACAATGAATATATTTGTCGCGTGATAACCATATGGAAATGTTATGCAGTTCGCAGAATGGATAGAATACACGAAGGCTCGCTGCTGATTCACTGCTTCATTCGCGCCTTTATCCGGTGTTCCCCTTCGCCCCCCTCCGTTCGCGCTGCACTTTCATTCGAAGCCCTCTCGTCGTGACTTCGATATTGCGGGATCATCGGTCGGTCGAATGAGAGAGACCCTTTAAAGCCGTGGGAAACTGTCCGCGAGAAAATGTTGTTTTACTCCCGTCATTTTTCACGATTCGATCAAATAAACATTGATCTTTATCGGACGAAGAGGAAATGTTTGGCGAACTATAAACAGATATCGATGATCACAGACTTGAATTGTCCCAAGATTCGATATGCGATAAGAATTTTCTTTTTTATCGTTTACATATATTTAAACATGATTGAATACTACTAATATTTAAACATGATTGAATACCAACTCTATATGTCGAAATCTTTCAAGTGTAATTTATTTAAAATATTATTTGTGGTTTATACAAGATACATGTTTGCATGTTCTTTTTTTAAATAACTCTTTGATCAATTTGGAATAGATTTATTCTCGGAAAAAGTTGCTCTTAGACTTTCACCAAAGATTCAACTTTAGATTAAGAATTCAATTAACGATATGCTAATGTGCACTCTGGACGATGCAACTGAGCACTCATGCAACAATAAATTTTGAAACTAATTCAATGATCACGATCATGATTAATAGTAATACGATATATATATTGAATACCGTCGCGGTCGAAATCGAGCGAGGACGCGATTATTAAACTCGTTATACGATATCCTTTTGACATGGCTGCTACTTTCGTCAATCAATCGCGATTAATCGACGTCGCTGTCCACTTCATGAATATATTTTCTTCGTGGCCGGTTTGCGCGAACGTCGTGTTCAACATATGCAGGTCAGAGTCAGTCACAAAAATCGATAGGTTCGCCTATATTCCCATTTTTAGATACGTCGACAAAAATGGCAGGGATACTTGTAAAATATCGAATTTTCGGGTTGTTCTTGTATCCGTTTAGATAATTTATAATTCGGATATCGGAGGAATTTTATGTAGATATAGACTCGATAATAGAACCTCTTTCTCTCATCTATCACAGTTTTACTACGTGTAATACATAAAAAAATGATGATGAGAATTTTATGAATCCTGAATCACTCGATTTCTTTGAATCATTTGACAATGAGTCATTTGATACTGGAAGTTTTAACTGGAAATTCCGTGTGAAAATCTTTTACACGATTAATCTTTTGTTGATAGATATCGACAAATAAGTAAAATTATTTTAGGTTTTTTTCTATTTTATTTTCGGATTTTACAGAATGAAATCGGTTGGTTCACTTTAGAAATCACATCCGTCTTTTAAATCAAGTCTTTTATATGTGCAATGATATACTGTTTCGTATTGAATTTAGAATTTATAGAGATAAAAAGAGGTCGGCGATTTTTAATTATACTTAATAGATCGTTATTAAGCAGTTGTTATTTTATCTGGGATGCGGATATTAATTCGCTTTTACCTCGCACTTTCACGTATAATTCGATGTCCGAATACATCCATAAAAGAGTGTATAAATTGTGTGTATAAAAATTCATTTTTCCTAAAATTACAACTTAAAATTCAAGACGAAACGACACGCATTTGTAAAAAATTCTCACAACACAATACTATCATCGTCGACAATGATTGTGAATCATACATAGTATGTAAATTACAATGTAATCTTATAAGGTGGAGGTCAGTGCCTCTCATTGTGACTTGCATGTGATGCAAGATTTCGCTTCTCTCGGTGTCTCTTTTCCGATCGATCGATTTCGAGAATAACATTTCCAACGTTGTTGAGTAAAGCCAAAAATAATGACTCTCCTCTCTTTCTCGTTTCAGATTTAATTCACTGCACCAATGAACCGAATGTTTCCATACCACAACTCGCTAATCTCCTGATAGAACGCTCGCAGAACACAAACTGGACGGTGGTTTTCAAAGCTCTGATCACTGTACATCACATGATGTGTTACGGCAATGAGGTAATTATCTTCTTTTTTATTTTCGTTCAAGCCGCGAAACGTCTGTCTATCCTTCTAAAATGACTTTTCTATTTGCAGAGGTTCACACAGTATCTCGCCTCTAGCAATAGCACATTTCAACTCAGCAATTTTCTCGACAAGAGCGGCGTACAAGGTGATTATTTCATGATGGTATCAACAGGATTTGCGTTTTTTCTCGGGATATCATGAGATGTTTCGGAATTGGAAAGTGATGACATGTAGCATTATTCTTTTCTAAATTTGTAGCAAATAATATTTCGTCATTATTTATTTCTTAAATTTAATTTACGAAAAAATAATTATTTTATGTATAATAATCAGGATGTCTATTCTCTGGAAAAACTCTTAAAGGATTTTCTGTACTTGGAAAAGTCAGAGAATTTTCATGAAATTTTATTGAGACTCGATTTTTTTTTAAATTCTCTCTTTGCTCTTATACTGCAATCGGCATTTCGTCGATAAATTATCAATTGTATAAAATACATTAAAATACATTACAAATATATATTTCTTTCTCTGCTGATATATTTAATATCTTAATAAAATATTAATATATAGTAGATATCTTTTATTGTCATTTTTAGTGATGAAATTTTAGTGGAAATGTTATACAAATGGAAAATGTTTATCTTGAAAGCTATTCAATTTTTTAGTACACTTGTAAATTTAGTACTTGAAATTTAATGACTTCGTATATTTCCTTCATATGAATGGAAAGTATTAGAAATAAAATAAAAAGACGTACAAGAAAACTTATTTTAGGAAAGTGCAAAAATCAAAAAAACTTTAAAATGTTCTCTTTGGAACTTTGAATAAAACTACTTAGTAAAATCTCTCAGAGAATTTTTTTTATAAGAGTTGAGAATAGACATCCCAACAAAATATATTAATTTTTATAGATATTTAATAGATATTTTTGTTACGAATGATTGCAAATTTCAACGTGTCCACTTTCCGGCAATTCTGCGGCATCATGTACGAAGAAAAGACAATTGTTCTCGTGACAATTCATTTGAAATTTTAAAATGTGTTTTCTTAACCTGAAAAGTGGAAGATTTAACATTTATTTCCGTATTAACAAAACCATCGCGAAGAATGCAGCACGAATCGCACGGCTTTTCGCACACATTCGCAATACATTCAGTTAAAGTTCGTGTATCGATATTCGAGCGAATTGACTTAATACGCACGCGTCGCATAGAAAATTGCAACATGTTGTAATTTGAATAGCTAATCATCGGACACCTCGACGCCGAGAATGTGTTTACGAGACATGTTACGAGAATTCGATTCATTGATTGAAGATCATTACATCATTACATCACATCGGTCATCGGGGTGCTTAGATAATGGTTGATATGGATTTTTAAAACGACGCGAACTCTTTTTACGAATTTTTCCACACGCGAATTATTTCCGTCTCATTAATTTCTTTGTATCGTGCAACCATCATCCATATGGAAAATGCGAATCTTTCTCTTTTCCATGTGTCTGATTCCATCTGTGTATACGATTTACTAACCTGGACTAACTTTCTATCTCTTCGGACACGAAGCAGGAATACGCGTGGGTGAGTTCTAATAACAAAATACTCGTTCCTTTTCTTGTTAATGTGCTAACGCTTTGTACTTTTGTAAAATTTCTAAGACTAAAATGAACATGCATACATGTGTATATCAATCGATATATGTTGTAAATTAATTACAGTTCAGTGCGAACGTTATAAATTTATCATTACGTTTGATAAAAAGTAGCTTTCAATCGGCTCCAACACGCATGCTTATATAACTTTATGAAATTAATGCAATCGCATCTCTCGGGCGTGTATTGCCGACTTTCTAATTTCACTTTTACGCATTGTTGCGTCGCACTGCCTATTAGTGCTTTCATTATGTCTCCACGGTACGTGAACAAAAGTGAATAATCGCAATTTTTTTTCTCATCGATCAGGATATGACATGTCGCCGTTCATCAGGCGATACGCCAAGTATCTCAACGAGAAGGCCCTCTCCTACAGGACGGTAGCGTTTGACTTCTGCAAAGTGAAACGGGGGTATGTGTTAAGAAACATTGTCGTAATTTTACTTTACTATTTACATTTAGAGCGAGAGAATTACTCTTTATTACGTAACCACATTATAGGAAGGAGGACGGCACTCTACGCACAATGAACGCTGAGAAACTCCTGAAAACTTTGCCGGTGCTGCAATCCCAACTCGACGCGTTGCTGGAATTCGATTGCACGGCTAACGACCTCACAAATGGCGTCATAAACATGGCCTTCATGCTCCTCTTTCGAGATCTTATCCGGTTATTCGCCTGTTATAATGACGGCATCATTAATCTGTTAGGTAATGCAGTATATTCGCTTTTCCTATTCCCGCGTAATAAATGCACATTTGAAGATGGATGAAATAATTCATTGTATCTCTAATCGAACGATTGCGATTGTGATCTTTCAGAGAAATATTTCGACATGAACAAGAAACAATGTCGGGACGCTTTAGATCTCTATAAAAAGTTCCTCATACGTATGGATAGGGTCGGAGAATTTCTGAAAGTCGCTGAAGTAAGTTATACATACGATTTGAGCGTAAAAACGACTGACATATTAAATTGACATAGCAATTGACTGAGCATATTTTTTCTTACAGAACGTTGGCATTGATAAAGGAGATATACCAGATCTGACAAAGGTACGTGCTGCGATATCATTCATTATCTCTCCTATTATATGATAATAATAAGAATAAGAATCTGTTTAATCATCTGTATATAATTATCGGTTATCATTTTGATGAATAATTAACAATGAGCGAAAACAATATGTAGTCAATCGATAAAGTAATATTTTCATTTGTTTCTTCCTATTGTACATTACATGACAGGTAATAACATCACTGATTATCTTAACGAGGTAGAGTTAGTGTGATCTAGTATAGAGCAGCATAGAGATAATTGGCAATATTTATTTTAGTTGATTTTGTGACTTGATTTTATGTCAATTACTTTCATTATAGAGAAAAACAGAGAGAGAGAGAGATTTATAATGCTTTCTAAAATATCAAACTCACAAAATCTTCTAAAAATAAATGCATGCATTTATAGCAGAGAAATGTTTTTCAAGTCAAAAGTGCACAGCTGATTCATTTTAACTTGCACCTCATTCAACGATTTTAACGATGCTTTGTGAATTACTGACAAATTACTTTTTTAGGCACCAAGTAGCTTATTGGACGCCTTAGAACAACATCTCGCTTCCTTGGAAGGAAAGAAGGGTTCCGCCGCGAACACGCCAACGCAATCGGCAAGGTATGCTAATTTCTTTTCTTGATTTTTATCCGACTCATTTAAATCTCATATAACGATCGATGTAGGAATAATTCTAAACATCCTTACGCTGAATGCTATCAAAATCGATATACTTCTCCTTCTCTACTTTCCCCAAAATCCATCGTCTCATTGTACATTTTGTTAAAATCAAAAAACACTTTCTTCTCTATACACATCTTTATGAGCTTTTTAATACGAGTACTTTAACAAAATATGTTTATCGCACATGCACATGCATAAAAATTATGACACAAAATTGCATTTGTTCTCTGCGGATATCATATATAATTTCCCAATTAACCAATTTTAAACCCATATATAAAACTGCTAAATATTCATCATGTTTCCTTTAAGTAAATATCGTAAGAAATCTTGAATCATATATTTTTGGGAAGTTATATCTTTTTCGATAGTCGATAGATACTTTAGGTTAATTTCCTCTAATAATATTTAATTGTATATAGAAACTTTAAAATTTGTTTTTGTACCCTAATCCATTTACCGCATCCATACTGTCTTTAAATTTTTGGTATTTAATTTTTAATATATATATATATATATATATATATATATATATATATAATGTATGTATGTGCGTGTGTGTGTATATATATATATGTATATATGTATATGTGTGTGTGTATATATATATATATATATTTTTTATCGAAAATATTGTATAATTTTTAAATTATCCAATTCATTTGTGTATATTGCATGAATGATAATCTGTTTAGATAATTAATATAATTTCCTTATAATTTTATTGATTATAATGGATTAAGCATGCTATATAAATAAATTATTTCAATTGCGATTAACAGTAACAGTAATTTATTTTTTTATTAATTTAATTTTATATTGCTTATATGTATAAATAATATAGAATATCATATCTTAATTAATAGATTTATTTAATACAAAATTCTATTTTTTTATTTATTGTAATAGATTAAACTTATATAGCTGAGACATAATAGTTTGAATTGAGATATACACAGCATTAATTGTTGAAATAATTTGTTTTAAAATAATGAAGATACCGTGTAATGTTTTAATGCACATGTATTTATCTACAAAATAGCTTTTTTATTATTGTAGTAAGTTCAATTCATTATTCATAATATTTTCATTATTCATAATATTATACAAAATAATTGTAAGCGATATATTACAGCGATATATACATTAATGTATCATGTAATATAATTTAGTTTGGTACACAGTTTGATACAAGCTTGACGCTACTCTTCACTAGAAGACTTTTCACAGAAAGTAGAACACTAATAAATGCATGTGTATATTAGGACATGTAGTAAAAAATCGGAGAGCGAAATAACGAGTGAAAAAGAAGAGAGGGAGAGAGAGAGAGAAAGAGAAAAAGATTGTATGAATGTGTACGAGTGGATAATGCACACTATGCATTTTTACGCGCATTGTTACATCTAAACGTACTACACCGTTTGTCTTTTTGTTTTTTTGTTTGTCTCTCTTCTCCTTTGTTTTCAATTATCAATTTTCCTTTACGCTCCTCTCTCTCGCCACATTTTACGAATTCGCTGAAACGGACCTTCCGTATTCTTCTTGTCCGTCCTCTTTTTTTCTTCCGTCCAATTGACACCGCACATCTCCGACATCCTATCATCGCCCAAAAGCAGCAATAGAACCAATGTAAAGTCGGGAGTGTCCGCCCTGTCTTCCACCAGTACCGCGTTCGGAACAGCAGCCAGCAATGCGCGGCTCGAGCAAACCGGGAACGGCCATATCGACGAGGCACTGCGACAGCAAGCTCTTGCAGAAGAGGAAGCCGCCATGAATCAATACAAGGTATTAAACAAACAATTAGTACTCAAGTATTTAACTCCGAAATGAAAGCAGGAGATTTTAGACTTTTAAATAATTTTTAAATTTCAAAATTGAAATTGCAATGATAAATTTGTTATTAATGTCAAAATATTCTTTCAATTTACTTTCTTGATATTTTCAAGTATTTTATATATTTTTCTATTATTGCACTTACGCGCGTGACTCACGAATATATTCTTTATGTATAAACGAGAACCTCAATGTATGTATGTATTGCAGGCAAAAGTACAATCGCCATCGAGCGCTAGCACAAATCCCTTCCTCAGTTCACCGACCAATAATGCCAATCAGCCTATCGTGGATTTGTTTGGTGCAGCAATGTCCGAAAATCAACAGGTATATCTACGTTTTTTTTTTATTCAACTAACGATGCAATTCCCATTCGCAATAATAACCGATTACTTGTTACAGCAACAACTTTCGCAAAAAGCGTCGGATGATCTGCTACAACTGGCGGGCAATCCGTTCGCGAACATGTTCGGAGCACCACAACCAGCCGCACCGACCGCACAATCTGCCACTCAGAACAACATGTGGATGACCAACGGTACTGGTGAGCACAGCATTTAAATCTCAGCATTATAGTCTCGATCATCGCTGCTTGTTTCTGTCACCGCGCTTGATTATGATATGTTCTTTTTTGATTTTTATTTTCTTCCATTTTCCATCCTTTTTTTTTTTTCTTTTAGGTTTCGCGCCAGCTGCGCCACCAGCAAATAATAACTTTGTTACAGATAACAGCTTTTCCTCCGTATTCGGAAATCAGGATCAACAATCTAGTAAGTGCTTATTACACTTAGTGGTAGATATAAGCAGATATTATACATGAGCGCATTTACATACGATTGAGATTCTGTGCACCTTTATTTTCCTTTTCTGTCATCTGTACATTTCTTCTCCTCTTTCTGTCGTAGAATTTTTGCGATCATTTTTATGATACTTTTGCATCATACATCTTATACTTTAGATACTTGGAACGCGCCTGAGCAATCACACGTGCCGTTTAACGCCTATGGCCACAGATGTACCGAATAAAACAGCGATCATTCTGTTATATTAAATCGTTGATGAATGAAGTTTTTGATAAGCGCTGATTATTCGATACATTCTCCGAATGCATTCAAAGTATAACATTAACGCGCGACAGTACAAAAGATTGCAATGTCGCATTAACGTTATACTCGAGTACATATCTCTTTTCTTTTTGTTCTCTCTGTGACTAATGTATTAATCGAGTCGCCGTATAATATTAGCAAGGCATTTTAATTGTTATCGAATTGCTGTTCGAATGTGAGAAAACGGAAGAAAAAGCTAACTTATGCACCTTGATCACTTTTTGCGCAAGCTGGCGTCCCAGGAACGGCCGCGTCCGTACCTAATCCCTTCATGTCCGATTTCCCGTCCCTCGGTACCGCCGGCGGTCAACAAACGGCGACGAACGCGGGCGCTTTTGGGTTCTTCGATCAAAATGCCGGCGGTGGTGTTGTTGGCGGCGGTGCAATGAACGAATCACAAGCAACAACGGCGCCAGGCGGAGACCTCTTCAGTGCCGGTCAGACGGATCTCTTCGGGGGGGGCGACGGGTCCGCCGCGATGCTAAAGACCGCCACGAACGGCGACGGGGACGCTGCGGCGGCCGAGGTAGTGGCGTCGACGGCATCCTCCGCTGTCGGCAAGATATCTTCCACTGCCACGCCGCCACCTAGACCACCGCCACCCGCGACTGCCGTTGCTGCCGCAAACGTTGGTGCTGTACCGCGTGCACTATCTCCGACCATCGGCGGCGTTGGCGGAGTGTCACATGGTAGACCAGCGGCGGCGACGGCGACGGCAACGGCGGCGGCTCCAGGCCCCCCCGCTAACAAGAGCGCCTTCGACGATCTCAACGACAGCATCCGCATGGCACTGGGCGGGTCTCCGTCGCGTCCAGCGCCTATGGTCCAGCAGCAAGCTGCAATGGCTGCCCAGCAGCAGCCGCTGCAACAACAAATGCCGCCGGCGGGTGCCGGTATATTCAGCGGTATGAACGACGCCGCCGGGCAACAATCCATGATGACCGGCGCGCCGATGGTCGGCTACGGTATCCCTACCCAAGCCCAAGTCCCCGTGGGGTACGGCTCGCCGGCAAAGCAGTCGATGTCAGGTGACGGGAATGCTAAACTAACCCACGCTAATTGCATGAGTGTTACACATTCGCTGTTCTTTTTGTCCAAGTTTGTTTCTTCAATTTTTTTTCTTTTATCTCTTTACTCAGCACGATATTGTATATTTTTTTTTCTTTTGTCTCTTTACTCAGCACGATATTGTATATATATTTTAAACTATAAAAGTCGAAATGTATGGGAAAATACATGATATAAATGGATTTAAGATACGCCTTTCGGATGTCTGTTAGATTTTACATGTGGATTTAAGATACGCCTTTTGGATGTCTGTTAGATATTTTTTTGTACATGTTCAGGAAATCGCACGTTCAATTTATGTATATTTTATTCGATCGATAAATCGCATTGAATGTTTATATTTAGAGACCGCAAAATAATTATATTATATTGAGAACGTAAGATAAGATTGTGATGTAATTTTAGCCACACACATTTGCACGATTAGATAAATGTGTTAATATTTTATTTAACATTTTAGATAATCGCAAAAATCACTGAAAAGATAGATGATTATATCATTCTGGTTCATGATTGATATATTCATAGAACGCGCGATAACCTTTGTATGTGATTGTTATTTTACTTTATTAGTTTATAATTCAATTATGATAATTCGCATGAATAATTGTGCAAACATAATTCTGCTTTGTGTTATTCCGTTTAAAAGCTTTGCATGCTGCTGTTTAGAATTTCGCGATAGTAGTTTTTTTAAATTAAATCCTTTTTTATTATTATTTTTTATTAGAAAATATATTATATTTAGAAATTGTTTTTTTTTTTATAAATTTAAATTAATTTCACAATTCGCTTTAAATCCTTATTTGGTTTTTTGGAGAGCTTTGTTCGACATAGATGTTGCTTAGAATTTTTACAATTTTTTGATGCCGATGTGATGATGAATAAATTGATTTTGAATTAATGTTATTTCAGCCACGGGGCAACCGGTCAGTACAACTGCCACTGGCAAGGTTTTGACCGGAGACTTGGATAGTAGTCTCGCTAGCCTTGCGCAGAACTTGACCATCAATAAGAGCGCACAACAGCAAGTTAAGTAAGTAATCATATTTTCGTACATAATGTAAGGGCATTTCAATAAATAATGTAACAAAACCTGTCATAACATATATTTATTTATAACTATAACTACAGCCTTTAATATATATCGATGCACGTATTCCACATATTTCCCATATACATGTATTCTCATGACAGTTACCTCTTATTTATTGAAGTGCTTCTGTATATGCGAGTAATTTTATTTGGAATATACGCGATATAAAGTTCAGTTACATAAATCTTATCAAAATGATAAAGGTATATGTATATATAATAAGATAATATAATAAGATAATAATAATAAAATCATAAACAAGTTCTTAATGATGATATAGATGTGTGTATGATATTTCTGATAGAATTAAAATGTTCTTCCTTCTTTTTGCAGAGGAATGCAATGGAACTCACCGAAGAACGCTGCGAAAACGGGCGGTTCAGCTGGTGGATGGTCACCTCAGCCAATGGCAGCTACCACCGGTGCTGGATATCGTCCCATGGTAAGTTTTAACATTTTCTTCGTCCGTTAAGTATTCCCAGCACGCTTTTTCTGATTGTTGATACACAAGAATATACGCACAAGGTTATACGCACACATACACATCATCATTGTTATGCATTATTTTCGAAGAAAAACACTATAGTTTCTGATAAAACACAGTATGAAATGTAGATTTCCTATGCAGATTTATAGATCGTTTAAGCTGTTGCTCACGAAATTATTTTTAATGTTATCGCCTTTACTTGTAGAAATTCTTTATCACGCGATCTAGTAAATCATTTTAGGTCGTTAGTGACGTGCTAAATGTTCACGTAGTATCTTTGAGTTTTTTTTTCTAAGCTAAAAACGTAAATTTATCCACCGTCCATCGTGGGACTCTTTCGCGCTCTACATAACGAAGTAATTTTCTCGTCAATTAGCACCTTTAGGTGAGTGTAATGCATGCACACCGGCATATGGCATGTTACCGGCTATGTTACAGGGCCAAGGAATGACGCAACTTCTACCTACGACCACCACTACTATGGGTTTTCCCTCGCAGCCTACCATCATGGTAAGTCCATGAGATTACAAATGTTTTTGTTTCAACGAGCGAGTCTCGTTTAATATAAAGCGTCAAATTCATCATCAGATTTCACTCCACTAAATCACAAAACACTACAAGAATGATGTGTGATAACACGAATTGTCACTAACTCACTTATGTCAATAATTGTTATTTGTACAAATCACATTGTATAGTTTTCTTACTTTTCGTCCAGGCGACAAACTTGTTGAAAGATAGTGTTCCAGCTCGACACTCGGACATCTCATTGCGTTTCCTCGCATTATGTGCTTATGCATAGATATATAACCGTTGATGCACGTTTTCGAGAATGTAGTAGATAGTTTATCGCAGCGATTTATATTTTTGCAAATTGATTTAAGATTTTGTTTTTCTGCGTACGTTGGCTGTAATTTGCTTGACATGTTGATTCTTAATGTAGATAATGTAGACAAATTGATTATAAACGTTTGTTACCTATATGCAGGTAATACGTGTTATCAGAATAGATTAGATTAAGTCGCACTATATTTTTCTAGAGATTTCTTGCAAATATAAAATGGAAAAAATCTCGAAAGAGAGAGCTTGTTTGAAAAGAATATATATAGAGTACTATATTTTATCTTATCCGATACTCTCTCTCGTTTAACAACGTGTACAATTCTGTTCAATGTTAGTGCAATCGAATTCACTTCCAGAAGACTTTATAGGATAAAATAAAAAAGTCGAAGTGCATTTTTCTTTTTTCCAGTCAACGCCTAAATTATTCTTGAACTTTAATTATTGTTAGTTATTGTTGAACTTTAATTTGATTATAACATTGATTGATCAAAATTATTTTAATGTTAAGAAAGATATTAAATTCTGCAGGCACACATGCTTTCTTTTGTACATACATCTTATTTCTCTCACTCTCTGGTGTCTGTAGGGTATGCAAGGTATGCCGATGGGTATTCAGGGCATGCAGGGTATGCAGGGTATGAGGCCGATGATGTGTACTATCCCAGGTGCTTCCGCCCCCGGTGGCGGTATGATGGTTGCGGGAGGAGCTGCGCCGATGATGGCCATGCCCGGCGCAAATCCCATGATGACTGGTCCTAATCTGCAGCAACAGCAGCCGCAGTCTCAGCCTCAAGCCGCTGTAGCACCGGCTCAGCCACAAGGCAATGCAGTTCAACTCGATCCTTTTGGTGCTCTGTGAAGGGATTAGGTACCTATCCTCATTTATCATTTCTGCGCCGTTATCGTTCTCAAAGATCTCATGATATATAATGGAACAAACCATGATAGAGATCTGTGTCGGCTAAAGATCACGAAAATTTCGAAATTTGCTCGGCGAGATTGAATTTTACCTCACATTTTACAAGAGCAAATTTTATTAGATACGCTATCTCAGGCATTGAATTTTTATTTTTGTATGTATATATATATATATATATATATATATATATATATATGTATATACATATATACATGAAGTATATTTTTTTCAACGATTTTTGAATGGGTGTCGTTATGAAGCCAAGGTAATAATGTACAGTAATTTCTTTGTGACTTATATATGTATTTGTAATTAATAATGACTATCATGTAGCATTTTAGCCAGAATTTCTGAATTGTTAATTCTCATTTGATTTTTAAACGGTAACGTGAAACGAAATTTTATCTATAATTTTATTTATTGAGAAAATTGTGAATATAATTATTATTGATTAGAACTATTTAATTACTATAATATAATTATAAATAATATAATTAATATAATATAATTAGATAGTTCTTTCAATATCATAATTATATTATTAATTATCAAAAAACTTTTTTTTAATATCAATTTAATATGTTAATTTTATAAATTACAAGTTGCTTGAAGTGAATTTTACAATGGATGAAATCTGGCTGTTCTCTATTAACTAATAGTGCACTCACACGTACGTTCATCTTTTTTCCTCTGATGCAATTCTTATTATCAATTTGACTGCTACTGACAAAAGTATAGCATTCAAAGATTAACAATCTTGATAATCATGTAAATAATTGTCACTAATACAAACGAAAAAATAGATATATGGATATAGTTTCATGATATAAACGCAAAATTGCGTTTACTAAAGCAGACTACCAATGACTGTTCCAGGATTTCAAATGGAATTAAGAAGATGGAGCGGAATTTTGTAAATACCGTGTAATATGCCTAGAAAAAGAAAAGAAACAAAGATAATGTGTCTCGCTTATTTCCGTTAAGCATGGCCCGATCGCGATCTTGAATCATTGATTGATCATCTCGATTCGTCTCATTGTGAAATACGATCGGCAAATTGTATCATACTTCCTGTAATATGCTCGCCGAGCAACATGTAGCACGCATTACTCCAATATATTCCCGTGAACATTGGTAACGGTTATAAATACGTCGTTTTAATCGAATTTTTCGGGTGTCTCTTTATCGAGGAAGCAACAAGGAGCAATCGAATTTGAATCCTTAACTTTAGCCAATGTTCGCGGGAATACATATAGAGCGTAGAGCGAGGCGTTTTTTTTCCGCCTTGTAAATCTGTAGCCGGGCATAAATTATGTAGCTTAGATAAATTAGTTGTTCCGGACGCGAGTTGCGTTTAGAATGACACGAACGTGCGCGTGTGCAGTGAATATCTTCCTGATGAGGATAAACTGTGATAGTATTGCGTTCGTGCAACGCAAAACAGTTTTTCTTCGTTGATACGTCGAGCAAGCCTATTATCGAAGATGCATTTTCTAAGTTCGATGAAGAATTTCCGTAATTACATAGCGATATTTAGGTAAAGATTAATTTTTACATTTGGGAAAGGGGGAGATTGTGCGTGACTGATGGTGCGTGAATTGGCAAGAGCGCGTTATCGATAAGTAAATCGATAAAGAGTACTCCTGGTGGTTCGTCATGGTTCTAAACGTAATATCGCGTTAGATTATATACACATGTAGCTGACGATTGCACGTATACCAATGTTCGCGTTAATGTTTAAATCGGTATAAAGAAACGCAAAGCAGAAAAGATCGAAATAGAGATTTGCACATCGGGCACATATCCTCGTTGTAATATATAATATAATGTAATAAAATATCGCAAAATTTTCTGCGAATGTATGGATATGTTGTTTCGGGATGGCGAAGGGGAGAAGTATAGAGAGTTTTGAGGCATATTCTTTTTCTGTCGAGAAAAGTATTAAATATTAAATACGATAAAAGATATACGATAATTATTATCACATATATATACATATATATATATATATATATATATATATATATGTATGTATATATATATATATATATATATATATATGTATACACAATATGTTTAGTTTAAGCGGATACACTCAGTTATTTTTTAAATAATAAAATTTGTTTATTCATATATAAAAGCAATATAGTATCTTATGAACGACTATTGAACATTTCACTTTATGGCACATTATTATTATTGAATTTGTTATTAAAATGAAAATTGGCTTACATAATAATAATTAATTAAATAATAATTATAATTATTTGATTAAAAATAATAATAATAATTAGTTAATTAAAAAATAATTAAAAAATTGGCAAGTAAAGCGCAAGAGCAAGGCGCAGTAATTAGAGCGCAAGGAAGAAGAAACAATTTTCAAGAATATAGATCAAAAGATGATCCGAAACATTCATGCTTATTGCATGTATTGTGACGACTAATTTGAAGTGTACCAATAACTAAAAGAAAAAGAAAGTTATTTTTTCTTCTTTCTTGCATTCCAATTATCGCACCTTACTTGTTGGCTCTCACTTGCCAATTTTTTAATTAATTTTGAGTTTGTTACAAAACTAGCAAAATGCTATACGTCATTTAAAAAAATAACTGTTGTGGGTAACATTAAAAAGAAAATTTATTTAAAATTTTCGTTTAAATCACTTTACATGGATTTTCTTAAATAAAATAACTTTTATTTGAAACATTATATTATTATAATAATTCTATTATTTAAGAAAATAATTGAATGTATATACTTAAATTAAACATACTGTGCATGTATGAAACGAATAGATGGACTCATTAAATGTTCTTTATCCGTATACTGTTCGAGGATATCTTAATTAGGTAGTTAACGAAGTATGTTAAAACGAATTAAAAGGCTACGACGCTCATACAAAATAATTAATACAACAACGTGAATGTACGTGGTACTATCGATGCAGTCAATATCCTGTTGCGGTCGTTTCGTTTTGGGATTTTGTCAGCACACACACTCGCGATTCTCGTCAAATTATATAAATGTCGTAATCGAGAAGATAAGAAATCTACCAATGTAGCGTGTATATTGTATTTAATCAATCGATTATTTATCCGCGATTGCTCGCTCGAATGAACGAATGAAATGCGGCTAAAACAAGAAGGAATTAAACGAAAATATGGCGATATTTACGCAACGTACGCAGTACTAGTCGATGAAAGTCTGTTCGATTTTCGTTGAGGCCTCTCTCACACAAACACACACATATATCACGAGATAATGTTTTTTCACGGAACGTAAATGTTCGCTCTCGTTTCTAGTATTGTCTCTAATTTTTTTTTCTTCGATTTCTCTTATAAACTTATCATTAATCCTGCATCAAGGACTGACGCAAGACCGATTTCTCCAACGTCGATTAATTCTCACAATAGATTAACTAATCTTTCATTTCTTTTTAGATCATAATACTCTACTAATATAGATAATGAAGGATTCAGTTGATTACGATTAATGTTAACGTAAGGTTGCGACGTTAAGCGGGATCGGTCGATCATCGAGAGAGACTTTGGCTGGCGCGTTGTAGGTATTGAGCTTCTACCGCCGTTCATAATTTACGCGAGTCTTTTCTATCGTTGTTAATATTCTTTTTAAAGGTAACACTTTTGTAAACCTTTCTCGTTTTCCTTGTCTCGATATTTTTACTTTCACTAGCGCGTACGTATATATCTCGATAAGCATAAATATATATGTATATACACAGATATAGATGAGAAAATTTTTCTGAATCGTCTCGAAAGGAATGAGTATATATATATATCTGCAAAATCACAATTTGTGCGAAGTGAGAAAGCTTAATGAAACGTCATTTTGCGGGCGGATGCAGATGTTAGGCGGAGGAAGCGGCCAGATATATCTTCGGGCTTGGTATCAAACGAATCGCTTCCCTTCATTCGTCGATGTACATTTCCGTTCGTTCACACTAGGTTCCGACTGCGCTCTCACTCTTTTCACAAGTATATCTTTTATATAATATGAACGCGTATAGAATCTTCTCTGAGAGCAGCAGTAGTTGAGAGTAACATTAAATTATGGTCGCCGCGGGGATAGATAGTTAGTTTGTAAATCGGGGTAGCTTCGAGTCGAGCTTCGATTAAGCAGAGATCACGTGAGTTCTTCAAGGATAGCGCCGGTAGCTTTGGAATACTCGCATTGGTGTAATAAAGAAAAATTAATTAATTATTAAATAATATGTAATGTATATTAATATAATTAATATTGTTATTGATATTATTTATCGGATAAGCAAAGAAAAGAATTTGTGTAATTTAACATATATATTTAGAATATATACTTGGAAGAAATCTCTTTTCTAATATAATTCGGACAATTGTATCATACATTGACTTTAGTCGATTAGTGCACGCTGATTTCTTAAACAATTAAGTAAATCTAATGTAACGCTTTTTGGCTAAGATGTCAAACACACGGTTTTCTTCGCTTATCTAATGAATGATCGTTTGCGTATCGGATTAAAATGCCAATCGATACATTCAAGTGTCTTTTCCATTTCTCCTCGTTGCACAATATCGCTTTCGATCATTCTTTTCTTTATTTTTTCTTATTCGAGATCGACATATTTGTCTTTTTTTTTTTTTTTTTTTTTGAAAGTTCCACCATCCAATTGATACTTCTCAGGATCCGTTTTGACATTCCTTGAAGGAGTACCTGGTGTTTCACACCCGCTTAATTACGACATTTCCCCAAAATATATTCGTGCCTAAGCTACCGGCGCCACCGAACGTAACAGGACAATATTACGTATATATGATTACCGTATTATTATAGGAAGATGTAAAACGAGATAATCCAACTGTATTCAATCTCTCTCGCTGTAAACTAGTAAGATATTCTTGTCGCAACTTCTCTTATCGGCCCGCATAGTTAATGTAAAATCTCTCGGCCGCGTAAGAGTACACACTGTATATTGTTAGTATTTATAGAAAGGATCTTATATATATATATATATTTATGAAGAATAAGACACAGCCGACCGGTCCGACGAGCTAATAAAAATTTTATTTATACTAATCCGGGAATGGAAGAGAAAGAGAGAAAATGAAAAATCGTGACCGTATCGTATTTCCAACATTTTTTCAGCTAATCTTTGTGATTTAATAGAGATGTCTTCTTGTTGCTCCAAGGACGGCTTGTCATGTTTCTCATATTCTCACTAGAGAAAGAGAAAGAAAAAAAGAAAGAGCTCGAAGTTTTCACAGGGAGAAATTTATTGTTATTTAGTTTTAACGTAATCTCACATCTATGCTTGTACATGTATCATTGTAGTATGTATATATATATACACACACACACACACATATATATATATATATATATGTATATGTATATGTATATAAAGAGAGAGAGAAAGAGAGGGAAAAAGAAAGATCCTGAATTATAGAAGATAGTAAATAATTTAAATTCAGAATGCGAAATATTCTTCGAGACAAGTATAGATGTACAAATGTCAGACGTACACGCGCGTACACGATATATCGCGATATTGATCGAATGTCTCGAAAATTATTTGAGGAGAGAGAGAATCATATACATATATTATTTTGTATAAATAGCTAAAATTCAAAATTTTGCTCTATAATATAAGATATCAGATTTATAAGTTGTGAAATTTATTCTAATATATCTTTCTACTTTTTTCTTCTTCTCTTTCTCCTTTTTATTATACTAAGAAAGATAAAAAAAAGTGTATAGACTTTTTTAAACATTCGATTGTAATTTTGTGAGTAATTGTAAGTAGAGGGACTAACTGTTGTCCGGATTAGCTTACGTTATACGATGCGTTTGGCAAAATTGAGACAAGTCCGCCGCCGAAATCGTTTATCTTGTGATTGTAATAATGATATTACGCGATGTATGTGTGTGTGTATGTGTGTGTGCGTGCGCGTGATGTACTACTATCGTTGACTCGAGACGCTGATTATGGCAGTGTTGCCCGCCGGGCGTCATCGTTAAACGGTTTCAATAACAGGGCAAAGCGATCTCTGTATCATATGTGAGTGAGCGCGTAATGACGATAATGCCTTCTCGTTGTACAAATGTCGAGGAAAAGATGAAGAGAAAGAAGAAAACCGCAAAAATCGTAATATCATACAGTATCTTTCGCGGCGTATATATTTACTTTAGGATATTACACACACACACATACAAATCAGCATAGTGTTTGCTGTAATAATAGGTGAAAAGAAATGAAAGAATATGCATAGAGGTCCGTAGTTAGTGTGCAAAAAAGATGATAGATATATATATATATATATATAAATATATAAATATATATGGCCGTGTGTTGCGACACGCAAGAAATATAATCGAGTGGTGACTAAAGTCGCGATCTGGACGAGACTGAAATAACTCGAATGGATAGTTTAATTAGCATGAATTAGCAATTAATAGCATAAATTTTATATAAATTAATTTTATATTTTATTAATATCTTTAAATAAATTATATATGTATATATATTTCATACAGATATATATTTCTTTTTATATTTGAAAGAATGTCTCAAAATTACGAGACATTTGTTCAAATGTAGAAAAGAGAAATATAAAGTATACAAGTAACGAGATTTTTCCTAGCTTTCAATTAATTTAAAACTTTATTTTAATTTCAATTAGGTTCTAATTAAATATTTGAAGAAAATATGTTGGAGAAAATATGAAAAATTTACAACTAGTCGTTCTATTGTCCTCGTCTTTATTGTAGAATCTAGATGACATATACTATATAGGTTCTGGTAAAAATGAAATGCTCGTATAAAAATATAATTATTGTTATTCATTATGACTATTATCTTTAACGCACGCGTCGCAATATTGATTCAATATATTACAATTGCTCGAGTAAGAGGATTAAGTAAAAAAAGTGAGAGTTTCTGCAAAAAGTAGTCTGTGAAAAATTGTGTAATATCGGTCTCGTTCGAGTCGCGCGACTACAGTCGTCACGGCCGCCTGCTTTCTCATTCGACCACGTGCTTGGCGGCTAAAGACAAGCGTGAAATATATATCACTATCCTCCGTTCAAACAATAACGAAAGGGACCGCTCTACTTTCTATAGTGTACACGGCGTTTAAGGTAGCTCGCGACGATTATCGGGGAAATTAGAGAAATGTATAAGAAGACAGAGGCGACATTGCTTCCGAGCGTTTGGCGAAAGAATCTTTACTCCGTTTCTTCGTGATCAGCGTTATCAGGGAGAGATGAGAGCGACAGAAAACGGATATTAAGGACGAGGAAAACATGCTTGTGCATCGCGATACTATTTATCGGGGAGCAAAAGATCGATCTAATCTGGAGGAATTAGAATCTCGATGCTGCATAATTATCGCGAAAACGATCTCTATCCCTATTCTATGTATTTAGAGGAAACACGATAAGATACACGATGTACACACACGCGTTACAGCACTGAAATTTTATCTCTTCAAGATTACATCGGTCTTTTCAACTTTCGCTATTTATGCTTAATGTTCGGTATATTTGTTACGCGCGCGTGTTAAGAATTTTTTATTATTAAGGCTGCGCGCTCCGAGTTAAGTTTGGCATGTTCTCCCCCTCGTGTGACACATGAATAGCGGTTATTTCGAGTGAACGGGACGTTCTTGAGAATGGCGTGAATAGTGCCGTGGAAGGAATACATTCCATGTTTTTCTCCATTTTGCGGCGATGCACATTATGTGTTGATTGAATGATTTTGCGAATCAAACCTCCGATATGCCATAATCTCGTTTCGTTCCGTTTTTTTTTTATTTCCCCAATTCTTTTTCTCACCCACCCTCAAGTGCAAATAATGCAAACAATGTCGACGTTTATTTAACGTCTGATATCTGCGTATATATAATCGTATATACATATATACGATTATTATTTCTCTCTCCGACATATACTTTAATATTGTATGATCATTAATTACAAATTATACACCGCAGATATGTTGTTGTAATATTTACTATGTAGCACATCAATGGCGTTTAATAGAGAGTATTTATTGAAATTATTTACCATAAAACAGAAATTGTGTGCCTTAGTTATGTTAAAAGCCTGTTAATTAATCTAATTACACATACACTATCGTGCCGCTGTTACCCTGAAACCTCTTGTATCGGCGAAACACGGGGATGTTAAAATGAATTGTATAGTCGTACGGGGCATCTAAATTTATTCTGATTAGAAAAAGGGAGCGATTAAAGAAACAAACGACAATAACTATAGGGTTTATTTTAAGCACCAATTTATATTCCCGCGCAAATCACACTTTCAGAGCACCATGTTGTCCTTGCTGGTTAAACTGCTTAGAATTATACGTTCGTTGGTATATGGTCCATCTGCGAAATTATAAAAGCGATAAAAATCGAGTATATATTAATATAATAATAATACATTATAAGAATTTATATACAGGCTGAAACACACGCACTCTTAATTCTATGAGCTAGAGTAATTTTTTTTACTTTTTAAATGCAAATGAAAATTATTATATTATTCGTTGTATGGCTTTGAGTGACACACATATCGCGAATAATATTGAATCAGCGTAATTTTCGCATATAATAATTTGGAAGAAATAATAAAATGAAATTAATTGGATCGGAAAAATTCATCAATTATTTCTTCTAAACTATTATTTTTTTCTCTATGGAAGTATTAATATCAAATTAGATCGTACAAAGAAGAACAAAATCAGAATGTGAAAAGCACAATTAAGAAAAAATTCTTCTATTAATATAAGTGTTACTCGAAGAGATTCAATGGTGAGATTAAACATTCTGCAAAGATTATACACATGTTATATTCAGGTCACAAAGTAAGCGATTTTCACCCTGTACATGAAGTATACGAGTATACCGTTTACATCTCCCTGCTTGGAACTTACCCAATTGATACCAATCATCTGTATTTCCGGCATCCGCCCTAGCAGAGTTCAATGCCTTGCGGATCGCTATCGAAATTACACAAGCCATGGCGAGCGGTGGCTCACCGGTTGCTGCAAAGGGATATTCACGATTAAATCGATAATCTTTAATCCTTTTAGATTTGCGTCTTTTCTCATTTTATAGCAAAGAATGCTTCGAGATAAAATCGTCAACACTTTAAGCTTTGCAATTATTATATTTTGTTTAATTAAATTTTTCTAATTAAATTTTTAACGATTAATACGCATCAAAATATTTTTTATTCTAAAATTTCTCTATAGAGATTGTCCAAAATTTTTTATACGCAATCAATATGCATAAAGAGGGACGCATCTTTTCTTTAATAATAAATACAGATGCAAATCCGAAAGGATTAACGCAGTTTCTTACCCTTTGAACGGAGAACACCGAGTTCGTTGCTCGAATTCCTGGAGAAGGACACGCGGAAATCAACGGGAATATCCTTCGCTCCTGGCGGTTTATAGTTCTACGACGAAGAATAGAATACTCATGATAAATTAATCTCTCCCCTTTAGAATTTGTGAGAAGACGCGTTTCGGAGATATTAGAAGCGTTACCGAACACTCAATAAAGATCACGTACCCAAGTTCTATAATTTGTCAATGCTCCTGTTTTAGGATCGTACACCAGATCCTCGGAAGTCCAGTATCCTATTCCCATCACGAAAGCACCCTCTACTTGACCGACGTCGATCTCCGGACTTAAACTCTTACCAGTGTCCTCCATTATGTCCACCCTTCTGATAATGTGCTGACCAGTCAACAGGTCGATCTCGACCTCAGCGATGGTGAGGCCGTAAATTTTGTAAGGCTTGAGTGTGTCATCCTGCGTGGACGCGTACCTGTCGAGGTAAGTGCAATAAATAATAAATAAACGAAGAGAAAAACAAGCGAAAATTGCCACATATCGTTTTGCATATAAATATAAAATTTAACTGTTTTAATCATTGATTCTGTTGAAATCGGGCGGAAAAATATTACAATGATTATGCCGTTTTAATAATAAGAAAAGAAAAAAATCGCGAATAAAAAACTTACAAAGTATATTTATCAGTTATACATGTATTATGGAAAAAAATTAAATTGATGAAACAGCTGATAATAACGCGTAATACGATAATGATTTGCATATATCTGAATATTAGCATCAAATTATTTTAAAAATTATTTAATGATGTGATGCTTACATATATCGCGCGCATAAATCAACATCCTTTAGATACGCCGCAAAAACGAGCTCCTTCCAGCTCGGGTTTTTCAAATCTTTCTTGATCGGTTCGAGTCTTTTCAAGAGTTCCTTGCAAGCCTGAATCGTGGCCTAAAATCGCACATGAATTCAATTATTATTAATTAATTTAATATTATAATTATCTTTCGCGAAGCGTTAAAGAAAATTAGAATCTCTTACATAAGAGCAACTATCGCTGGTAACACTTCCTCCGGTAACCGAATTGTTGGGTGTTACTATATTAGTAGTTGGTTTGACGCTGATTAAGCTTAGATCGATTCCCAAGGTGTAAGCTGCCACTTGAGCGACCTGAGAAAGAGGATAGAAAAGATGAAATTTATTTATATGAATAAGGATAAAATACTCAGGCTAATAATTAATTAGTATATAACTTTTGTAATCTGCAAAAAGTAGCTTAAAAAGAATTTATAGGAATCCTTCAAATTAAATTATGAATATCTAAGTTTTCCGAAACAATTTATTTTTACTTTTTTATTTCGCTGTCAGATTAATAGCTATTTGACAAATTATATATTGCTCCTCTCCCGTTGAGAAGGATGCTTGAGACATTTTCTTAACAATATCATACCTTGGTATTAATACCTTGACCGCATTCGGTCCCACCGTGTGTCACGCAGACCGTACCATCGCGCGCGCAAATTGATACCATGGCGTTGAATTGTCCCCAAAACATAAACGGATACATCATTGGCACCATAGCGATTCCCTTCTTCTTCCAACGATTCTCGTTGTTGAACGTGTCGACGGCTCGCTTTCGTATCTCATAATCAGCTGATTTTGACAACTCGCGCCACATTTCCTCTAGCACGGTCTTGTCGTCCTCGTTCATATTCGACAGTCTGACTTGAAACGGATCTTTTTTCGTCGCCCTCGCGATGTGCTCCATTATATCCTCGCTCATAGCCACCCCTTCTAAGGAGCCTGGCGCTCGACAATACGTATTTGACGGTATGTCGGTTCGCACCTCGTATCCGTTTACTGTCCAAGTGTCGGTCATGTAACAGCTATTAACAAATAGTAATTGTAGATACACGCGTGTAGTTTTCAACAAAATTTTGTTAAAAAATCCTCATGCTTATCAAAACAACCTATTTCTCAATTGCAAAGAAATGCTATTATTTTTTAAAGAAATCTAATCGTAATATTAAAGAAATATTTCGTACGTTTATGACATAATTTTTTTCGATTTAAATTAACGCACTAGAGAAAAAAAATGTCAAAAAAAGAAAAAGAAAATTTTCTTTAAATTTTAAAATATTGAATTTTAAAGACGGATGAGAGAATTAAAATTTGAGGATAATATTTTACTGAAAACGCAGCGCTTTATATTATTAGCTATAATTTTGACGATATACTTGGCAAAATGATGCATTATAACCCAAGCGTGGGATTCGTTGAAGTTACAACCGGTGTTGCACCAAAATTTCGAATCAAGATACTGAATAACTCCTTCATCGTTGACACCGGCCTCGTATTCGTGATGCGTCTTGATTCTCTTGCCCACCGTTTGCATATTGCTCTCGATCGTCATGATAAAACGTGCCGGGCGATTCAGCTTGTGACATACCACCGCACAAGCGCACGCGATTTGTCCAGTGCGTGAAATTTTCGCCCCGTATGCACCACCAAGTCGTTTTACAGAGACATTGATACTGAAAATTAAAATCACTTGATTATATTACGCTAATTCATCAAAATGTTTTTATTTTTTAAATTTATATATTTCAAGGATCGAGAAAAATGTTCTATTTTGATTATACACTATGTCAATGTTTCTACCGAATTTTGTTCACCAATTCATTAGTTGTTGCTTAGTTTAAGGCGCAGTTTTTTATATATAAAAATTATCACGATATACTTAAATTTCTAATATAAAAAATTATCATAATTACATTATATATTATATAGTTTAATTTTGTGAATATGAGGAGACCAAGAACGTGTATTTCGGAAGCACTGCTTGCATCGGTTATGTTAACACGAAGATTAATGGGAAATTACGATGACTATCTCTTCATAATCGAGAGATTGATGAGACTCACCTATTATTCTTGACATTAAGGCATTCCGCGATAGATACTTGAATGAAATCTACCCATTGCGAAGCTGGATAAACATCCATGCCATCATCCGCGGGAACGCACACGCAACTTTGAGTCTCCATAGTGTAATGATACTGGCTATTTAAATTTAAGACGCCCTTTATCACGTGCTTGATATCATCTCCTGTAAAATAACGAAAAACCGCGAGAATCGCCATTTTTATAATAATTCTTTTGCAATCACGATAAAATGTATCATTTATAAGTTCTCAGATATATAATTTATCAATTAATTTAATATCTTTTCAGTTTATAATTTCCCAATATATTAAATATTATTTAAAAATCTAATTCATTTTCGAAATAGTATTTAAAATTCTTAAATTTTCAATCTCTATCTTAATCTACAACATGTTTCTAAATATTCGAAACGTACGAAAAATTTCTGAGGATGATTCTTTGATCATTTCTTAAAAGAAAAATCATATAAATCAATATTTTAAACGGCATGCATAATTTTTGAGTTACAAGATATTGAAATTTAAAAAAACAGGATCTATAAATGATACATTTTATCGTGTAACAAAAATATCCTGTGTAACTGATAATTTTTACCTTTTTTCTTCGCCGGAAAATTGGTGCCTAGCACGACTCTACTATCATCTTTTGTTGCGAGCGCTTCCTTAATAGTTAACACCGGCTTCCTCTTCAGAGGATCGCTATATTTGATCTCCACCAATTTGGCTGCCTCGTTTGCCAAACTATTCGTCTCGGCGGCGATCACGCCGACCGGCTGACCGGCGTAGAGAATGTCATTCTCGGCGAACAGAATTTCGTCATTCGACAACATCATCAGCTGATTGACACCCGCGACAAATAAATTTTTACCGGGCACGTCTTTGGCGCTGAAAAACGCTACTACGCCCTTCATAGCCAATGCCTTGCTCGCATCTATGCTCTTGATTTTGCCGGTAGCAATATCTGTGGTGACGAAGGCGCAAAACACTTCTCCGGGAAACGGCGGTAGATCGTTGCAATACTGGGCCTCGCCCGATGTCTGCTGAATCGCCTCCAATTTTATTGTCGGCTTGTTCACTGGCCACATATTTTTATCTGATTCGTAGTCCTGCGTACCTGAATGTTTTTTTTTTTCATGTGTGAATAATGAATCATAGCACGTTGCAATTTTTTCATTAGACTAAATCAGTACATTTATATCTCTCTACATTTTTAATATCGAAATTGCCTTGTCATTAACGGCTCATTTAGAGTTTCAAGATTTTAATAAGATAAACTCATGATGAACGTCGGAACTTTTTAATCGAATTTTGCAAAATCTAGAATGAAGTGAAATAAATTCTTGAGAAAGAAAGAAAGAAAACTTATCAAGCAAGCGAGCAAGAAAAAATCTTTCGAAATCTACTGATCATTCCACCTGAAGAAAGTCCTCGTTCCAAGATAGTACCGCCGCTGAGGAACTGAGGATTCATATTTTCCGGTTTGATGCTCAACACAAACTTGTAGAATAATCCTATAGCGAGAGTCTTGCGGAATTCCGGCGAATAGTCTGGCAACACATGATCAGGATCTAGTTCATTGTGCAGCGTCTCCAAGGCAGCCTTGAATATGTTTTTATCAAAGATCGATTGCTGATGGGTAAACAGCACCTCGGTGCTCTTCGCATGCAGGAAGTTCTCATTGATACCACCGAAAATGATATTGGGCTTCTCCAGCACCTTTATGCGAGAGAAATATCATGTTAATATGATAAACTAATGACAGATAAGATATAATAATTCGGAAACACCGAAATATATGATATTACCTTACCGCCGCGGTCGAGCTTGAAGAGGAAGCCAGCATTGACATGTGCATGGGCGTTCTGCGCTCTTGGCATGATCTTGTAAGATCTATACTCGTACTCATCGGACAGCGACGGCAGTACCACGCTATAGATGATCTTGTGACGCATGTCGGTCTTGAGGAAGTCCTGCAGCATCATGCTTTGCTTGCTACCGGGTTTATCGAGGATATGTATTTGGGTACCGGCGGTTTCCAACATCAGGAACAAATCGGATGGAAACTCGTGATGCGCGTGCTTGATCATCAAGTTGCCGGCGATGCTGCCGATGTTGCGTATCGGTACACTTGCGATCAAATCGATGTGATGGGCTAGATGACGCAGATACTTGAATCCGGGCTTAGACGAGTACTTCTGAAAAGTCTCCATCGCCACAGTAAGAGATATATTTCCACCCAAGGTTAAAGATTGGTCAGTCTTTTCGATGCGGCGCAGCTCCGGAATATCGTTTATGTCGATGTGAAGGTCGCTTTTACCCGTACGATAAACACCTAGAATTAGATATCGTCTTATTTAATTGGTGAAATTATAAAATATTTATTGAAATAACCGGAAGAGTTATTTACGTCGAAAACATATTTAGAAATGCATAAAATATTCTACTTATATTGCAGAATCTATTAAAAAATAACGCGATAGAGGCGAACCACTTTGCATATTGACTTTCTATTCGCCTATGAGAGATTTTTATTTCAACATATTAGTTGGAATTAATTTAAATAAGAAACACTTACGAAACTTAAGAAAGCAATATCGTAGGCAATGCATAGTTGCAATGCAGATGATGCGTTATAAAAGTCCCATATTTACATACTCAAAACATTTAATATTTAGATTTAGCCGAATAAATAAACGCTGATTCACATCCGCTTCGCTATCATCTTTTTTGTAATACAAATAGTGAAACTTTGAAGGAAAAAATTACCGTTCGCCGTATTCCCGCCGTTTAATATGTATGTAGCCTTCGGTTTTTGTTGAAATACCGCGAATAGATCTTCGACTGAATAAACTTTATAGAATTCTGCATCTTCCAACTTTATATCCAACTTTACATTGTTCGAAGATTTATTCGGATGTTTCAATTTATCGCAACAACTGTTTTTACATAGCAATCCACTCTTCGGGCAGGTTTTCACCTTGTGGAGCTCCTACGAAATACGCATATGTTATTGAATTTATAATTTGTAAATAATATAAAAAGTATTATATCTCGTAACAACAATAAAATATTGTTGTAATTTATTGTTATTTTAAGATTATATCATATAAAAATAAAGTATAATTACATATGCAAATTTCATATAATAAGCTGAAATAAATAAAGTTCTGAAACTGAAGAGAACAAATTTTTGCAATTGAAGCAAAATATTTCGCGCGCGATTACCTCGATATCGCGAATATCCTTTTTCATTACGGAGGACGCGTCGCTGGCGAATCCTTTAAATGCATCCAGAATCGGTCGATAACCAGTGCATCGGCAAATATTACTGCCGAATGAATTTTCGATCTGTTGCATTGTCAATTTGTTGTTTTGCGTGAGACTGAAAATAACGGTACGCAAGGCATTAAAACGCCGATACGATCGAATATTTGAATGCGATGTTTTGGGAAAAAATGCCTTTCTTTTAAATTTCTCTGTCGCACCTGTAAAGATTCATCACCATTCCAGGGGAACAGAATCCGCATTGCGTGCCATTTTTTCCAGCGAGCGCAGCCTGAATCGAATGATAGCCAATTAATCTGTTTCCTATACCTTCGATCGTACTAATTGTCCATCTGCGAAATTATTTGATAGAGAATTAATCACAGTCTCGAAGCGAATAAATAGGACTAGAAAAAAATTCAAAACATCAAAGATTAAAGATTAATATCGAAGATATCGAAGAAAGCACCTCGATGCAATTTATATGTGCCGTGCGTTAAATTTTCGCGAAATTATTTGATAGAGAATTAATCACAATCTCGAAGCGAATAAATAGGACTAGATAAAAAATTCAAAACATCAAAGATTAAAGATCAATATCGAAGATAAAGCGTCTCGTATGATGCAGTTTATATGTGTCGTGCGTTAAATTTTCATTATGTAATTCCTTCTTTTGACGAAGAGTAAAATTTGAATATAAACTCACGATTAAATTACACACATACCCGTCACAAATTAATATTGGCACGAGGCAAGAATTCACAGCCATTGTTTCACCCTTGATTTCCGCAGCCACGATGCAGGCACCGCAGCCACCCTCGTGGCACATCGCTTTTGTGCCGCGGAGTTTCGCATAGTCGCGAATGTAAACGTTGAGGGACGTGTTTGCGGGTATGCCTCCCGACACTGAAAGCGAATTTACGATTATAAAATAACGCAGCAGTATATGTATATAACGACATACACATATGTGTATCATATCAATTTTAATCCCGAATTTTAGTATTCTAACTAGAGAAGTGTTGAATAATCAAATTTTCATAATTGAATGTTACAACTGTTATCGTTGCAATTAAATTTTCACAATTGAATATAGTCGTTATTACTATTCTAATTAAATTTTCATAATTAAGTTCTTTAATTTCCATTTTCACAATTAAACTTTTGCAATTAAATTTGTAGTTTCAACTATATCGTAATTATTTATTTTCCTATTTAATAGACTCGAAATCTTTTTATCTCTTTATAATTGTATTGTCTATAAATTATATCCAAAGAAAATACAATACCCTCGTATGGTACTCCATTAATCGTAAAGTTGACAGATTTTTTGCCATCCCTGCAACGAAATGTAAATTAGTTTACATAAAATTTTAACATTGTCAGTCAAATTGTGTGTGTGAAATTTTTAAGGATTATTTTCGTGATACTTGATGTAGTATAACATTTTAATAACAAAATAATTATAAATAGATGTTTTTCTGTTAGAATTTTTTTTCTCTAAAAATTAATCGAGAGTCAATAGTTTCTAAATTTGCATGAAATATTGCGCTGGATTTTTCTTTATGGCATTTATATACATAAAATACATATTAGCATATATTATATACATCCTTTTACAAATAAAAACTTACATTATTATCGTTGGCATTGTCGATTATTAGTTGTACTCTGATGCACGCAATAATAATCCTTTGTCCACGAGATTCTTATGCGATATATACAAGCGTCTTTCTATGAAATAATACACACGAAAGTTGTAATCTGAATTATCAGATAAGCACAACTTCTTTTTTCTTCATTTGAAAGCAATCATTGTATCGTAGCAATGATAAGATTGTGCTTGTAAATATAGACTAATAAATAATGTTTGAAATGCTCGCGTAATTGTGGATGAATTGTAATAATTAAATTACGATTGAAATGATTTTTGCGTGATTGTGAAACATGCATTTTCCGTTAATGGAAAAATGTTTTTCGTTATTACAAACGATTGAAATTAAACATTACTTACATTGATTAAACGATTAAAATTAAACGTTAAACAAACAAATATACTATATATTTTTTGTGATTGATCATGCATTTATTACATAAAGGCGATATTCAGAAATAGATCATTTAGTAATTCTATTTCATATCATGTATTATTTTTGAATTTTTCTTTTTTTATATTCTGCTGTTGCTAAAGAGAATCTAACTATTAATTATGTCGAGCAAAAAACTTTTTTTCTGCAATAAATAGCTCTTTCGCAATGTGTTGTAAGGATCGTGAATATGATAAGGAAATATCAACTCATGATGTCGTTAAAAGTCTGATTATAAAAGAATTCATATTTTTAAACAAAGTTTATTATTATTGCATAGATAACGTGTATCATGAAATAAGCATTAATATTTTTTTGTAACTTATTACATCTTCGCATTACATAAGCTTGTCCTTTCTTTCTCTTTCTTTCTTTCGGAATAATGTTGCTCTTAATAAATAATAACAATGGTAATTCATTATCAGTCACAACGTTACTTTTTATTTCTATAACATTTTTTTGCATTTTTTAAAATTATTTTTCATGCATTTTGAGAAATGATTTATCACAAAATATATATGTATTGTGAGTTTTGCTATTATATTAAAATATTTAATTTATACAGTCGTATTAAACTTTGTTGGAAAATATTTTTAATATTTAGACAATAAAAAAAAATTATTCTATATCTATATAGATATCTATATAGATAGTGTTTTATCACCTCTATTTTTAATTGGTTTAATAATGATTTAATTTTCTAACATTATTAATTAATAAAATATAAATTTAAATAATATCTTTTTATACAATCATTTTTTTAATAAATTGTTGGACTTTTTATAAAGCTTACATAAAACAAAGATATTTCTAGTGATAATTTATTGCGTTCAACCGGATTTAAACGCAATATTATGATAAAATAAATATATATTATTACTTATATATACTATAAAAATATATAATAAATATATATTATTACTTATATATACTATAAAAAAAGTGTATCAAGATGTACACAAATGATATTTTATTGAAAGAAAAGAAATTTTAATTTATTGGACAAATTCGCGACTTTTTCCTAATAAAAATATAAAAAATTTATTAAAAATTAAGTTACTAGCACACATTTAGATATTCATACGAATAATAATCTTTTTCAGAATTTTATTGAATACTTATGGAATAAAGTACTTATTATCAAAGAAGAGAGGAATTAAAAATTCATTTATTCCACGAAAAATTAAAGAAAAAACTGGAAAAAAACGCTTAATTTCTTCAAATAATTCGCCGCTTAAACTGGAAATATATTTGAAGTGTCTTGTGTAAAGACCTTGCAGCATAAGTACGATGACATGGCAATTTTCTTTAGACAGATATTGCGACGAAGATCGTATTCGATTATAATCGACGAGAGACTTATCTAATGCTTAAATAACATTCCCTCATTCGTGAGACATAATTCTGCAATGGCATAAATTATGTGCCGCATTGATGATTAATACTCGTCGTTGTTAAGAAATAATGAAAGAATTATTTTCTTCTCTCCATAGTTTAACGCTTATGTTATTATCGACAAATTGATAAAAATGTAGAGTCTTGTTTCGAGCAGTATCATTAGTATACATTATTCATTTACATTAGTCATTTGTAATTTTATTTCAATGTCATGTACATTGAGATTCACGTGTAACATTGTGCGCGGAAATTTATTACTGACGCCAACGATTAAATGTGTTGATTTAACAGAAAATACGTTTCCTCAGAAAAGACGTTTAATCTTTATGTAATTATGCAATTTCCTAGCATGATTGTAATATCAATATTTCAAATGCTCTACAAAAATAGTTTGAAATAAGATAAAAATCGCGCGTGCGTGTTATGATTTTTAAATATTATGCAGTTTTCCTTAGGAAATTTTGTAGTAACTTTATAATCTTTGAGTTGCTTTTTCTTGCTTATATTTTTATTATATATTTGTTTCAATCTATTATAAATTTGTTTCTATTATAAGACATTGTGTGTGTAAATTAAATAAATTATTGCACTTAAAAAAAATTAAGATAAATTAATTATTATGTTGAAAATTTATGTATTGGTATTTATCTCAATGATATCTCGCAAAACATTTTTTAATCAAAATGTTTAGAAGCTGAAAGAAGAAATCGCGAAATGATTTGAAATTCTCTTCATATTCAAAATTTATAATCTATTTTTATTTTAATTAATTGCATTTCATAATTATAGAGTGTACTTGAATTATTTTAATTCATTTACTGCTTACATAAAGTAATGAGAGAAAAAGAGAGAGAGAAACAATTAATGTTACAAAGAACGGGAAATAATTAACTTGTTATATGTAAATCTTCTTTTTTTCTTTTGAAAATGGCTACTATAAAATAAATTGCTACTATAAAGTAAGGTTGGTCTATTTTTTTGTAGAACTTGTTGTTGCGAAATATATCGAGTGCGCAACTTTCCAATGCATTTGCTCGATAGTATATCGGTTTTTCATCGGCTTTTCCGAGTTTTGCGTAGAACAGAGATGTGATTGTTAAACAATTAATTTATATCAAAAATTGATATCGGTATATATCTCGAATCAATTCAATTCTCGACGTTATAAATATAGTAAAATGTATTGGACATGTTGTAGAAACGAATTTTTAATATTTATGACATCGCGAAATCTAGATTCGCGAATTATATTACGTCTCTCTCTTTCCAGTCTCAATTCCAGTTTTTTAACAATTATTCTTAATATGTTATCATTCTCTAAATATTTAATTAAAAAAAGATATTAGAATAATCCTTTTCTGTTAGTAAACAACGGAAAACAAATTGGAAACATTACATTACACAAATTGCGTTTTATAATCCGAGCTGTAGAAGGAAAAGTTGAAATAAATACATTTCATCGTTTACACTATCGTTTTACGAAACTTTTCGTATCTTGATATATATCTTGCTAAATCAATGTTTTAGCGATTCCGTTGGACTACTTTCGAGCATTCGATTTCACTGACTTTCAGTCTCACCGTTTCCACTTTATAAAAGGCGTAGGCAACAAGTATTTTATTTTAGACTTGACGATTTTAGATATCACTGGTAATCTTTAAAAGTTCCTTCTAATTGGCAAACTAAAATGAATTCGATATTTCTGATGGAAAAAGCAGATATTAAAGTGTTGATTTCATGAAAATATAAAAGCGTATTGATGTTAATAAAGATAGCATTCGAGTTACGAGATAAAGATCATATCGTTTCACTATTTGTCGCTATTGTCTTTATTGACGTGCCATATTTTTTTGCATCGATTATAAATGCCGAAGAAAATTATTTTGAGAACTGCTCTTTGAAAATATCATTGGGATAGTCCAGGCCGATCATAAACGGATCGTGCTATTAAGCTTATTTTTAGTATCTAATTTTAAAATCTTGTTCTAAAACTGATTTTTTAAGAAAAAACCGGTTAACAATCGGAAAGAACATCGCCTAGAGAAAAAGATGTCGTGCAAAAGTGAAGGATTTGATGAAGATTTTCTTTTTTCCTAATCATGCAACATACTCAGCAACATTGAGTTAAATTCGTGATGTAATTGGAATGTCATTGTGTTATATTCTGATTACATAAACTTGTGAGCGTAAATATGTTTATTCCGTTGCGTTTTTTATCTTATATAAGCCGCCTCACAAAGTCAGGAAGAATAAATTAAAGGAATTAAACAATGTTGCACTCATGTCGACAATATTAAAAGCACACAATGCAAAGTAGATATCACTGTTATATCGCAGGAGCGCAATCCATATTTATTTCTTTAAGTCTTTCCGTCTTTTTCATGAAAGCAATTATCATGACGAGACAAAAGCAGCACGAATAAAAGAAATATAGAAGAAGAAACGGGAGAAAATTGAATTGATGTTGCGCATTAATCTTGCGTTATAACACGATACGTAATATTGCAAAACAAATACGTAACACACGGAGAAAATATTATACAGTAAAAATTGCAATATAATTTCTGTAAATACGTGGAACATATTAAACATAAGAAAAATCACTATATTTTGATTCAATATTACATATGTATTGTATTTTCAAAATAGTATTGCAATTATTCAAATGCATAAACAGATGCATAATTATTAACAAATAATAAAGCAAATATATAATTTTTATAGTAATAAATATTTTAATATGCTACTATATTATAATTTTACAATAAATCTTTAAAAAATGCACTTTTCACATAATTTACACTGTAAAATTCTCTCCGTACACTTTGATTGCGAACATTTTCGAGGAGACGTCAAACAATAGACAGAAATAACAATAGAGAGGATGATGGATATCTTTGTGAACAATGATCACGCTAAAATTAAACATAAATTATAAGCCGATAGTGTTGTACAGCTCAAGTGCTTACTATGACAAATAGTATCACTTTGCAATATTAATAATATTACTAATGATAGAATGATTTCTGCGATAAACTTGTGACCTGATTATTGCAACATTGTTAATAATCACAATCGATATAATTTCGTTGAATTCAATAAAATAATTGTTCAAAAATCACCGAGATAATTGAATGAAATAATTGTTTAAAGACCATCTAGAGAGAATTGAACGAAATTACTGCTTTTTTTCGCTGACCGAAAGCGGTCGATACGAGAAATTATATCATCACAAAGAAAGTATTGAGACAGCTTTTACTTATCACTTTGACTCACTTACGATACCTATTTCGACCTACCATAAATTGTCAGCACTGGCAGCTGCGCCCATTACTTATGCCAAGAACGTTGCGATGATTCCGTAGATACAGTTGATTAACCATAAAAAGTTTCACCAGTCAAAAGTCTGATAATTTTTCCTCTTTTTAATTCTCAGAGTAATCGCCAATTCAACTATCATCGACAACTATCATCGAGTGTCGGAACTGTTAATGAATGTGATCGACAGAATCCGCGGCTTCTCGAACTCTACTGCGCTCGGGCGCAAAGTTTACACTTTGCGTGTATGCACAATCGGACCCCTACTATGTACGGTCGCTGCACGAAGTCAATAGAAGCGGAGTGCCCCATCTCATGCCAGGTATTGTGACTATCATAGTGTTCCGAGAATTATTCGCTTAATTATTATTTTATTGTCGTATCTCAGAGTTCCATTGTATTCATATTCTATCCGTGAGAGGAGAAAATCCAGATGGTTGCGAAAAAAAATTACGTTTTATATCGTGATTTCGAGATGACCTCTGTGATCTTCAATTATGGGGCACTTATATATATGTTGTATAGATAGATTGCTTTAATCAATCGTTCTTATGTCATAAAACTAAAATACAGGCTCAACTCCGAGAACAATCTAATTCTCTCGTTTAAATGATGACGATCATATAAGATAATCCATTGCTATTTAGAACATGCTGACATAATAGCATGCATGCATGATCGATTATATTTCAATTTTTTTTCGAAAACATTCCATATATTTAAATCTGTTTTTTGTGGATTATTTTTATTATAAGCAAGATTTTTTAACTTTTTCAATTGTAATGCCAACAATTTCAAGACGTGCGTTTAGAATTGATGAAGATGAAATATTAAGATATATTTTCGGCGAATCGAATCAATCTCGAGATATTTAAAAAAATATTATATTCTGTCACATATATATTTCATTTCGCAATATTTATGTATTGATAATATATCTTTCTAAAAACATAATTATAGTATAATTAAAGATTATTTTTTATACAATTTTATACATGGAAATATAGATTCAGTGATCCCTCGTTAGACATTTACTTATGCGATTAACTAAAGAAACAATAATTATGCATATTGATTGATCTTGTTTATTATTATTTTCGGCATGTATACAAGATAAATAGAACGCTCTAAAGAAAATCGAAGATGAAAAGATGTTATATGTTAAAATTCCTTAATTAACGGTGATTAACAATGCACATATATCGAAGAAAATTGTCTCTCAATTGCCTCCGACCAATTCGTCGCGATATTTCACAGGGTAAGCTAATTGATTGCCCTTGTTCCACGTATAGAGCTCCTGTAACGAAAAAGGAAACCGAATAAGAACATATAAGGAGAGAGAATTGTGAAAGATATCTCAGTATCTGAGTAACGCATACCTTGGTCTTATGATTGTAGCTAACTGCTGTGGTCTTGTGATACGGATTCGTAAACGACAATGATACATCCCGTATCGTGTTTCGAGACAAATCGAAGGCGAATCTACGGAATTGAGGTAATCGGCTTGGGTAATAACGATAATTCTGTGGTCCGAAAAAGCAAGACAGCCAGTTCGATTATTCGTGGATATGTCTCTTGTGAATATATAATTTATTTATAATAATCATTCCTTTTTTTATATATTTTTCATATAATCATTTCATATATTTTCATATATCTGTATATATTTTCATTTCATGTATATATACATATGCATACGTGACAATTTTTTACGTGACGGCAAATATAATCATTAATGAGTATTAAATGAATATTGCTACAGAAAATTGGGGAATTGTATATTAAAAAATATTCAAAGAGAATTTCCACGCAATATTCGTGTTCTTTAAAAATAATTTAATTTCTCGTATTACCGTATCTTCATAGTTTCTTCGGTGACACTGTGTATAGCATAAAGCACTCCTCCCGCGATAAACATCTCTCCGAATCTATGATGATCGATACTGATGTTCCATGCGTACTGAATCATCATCTTCACAGGGTCAATTTTCACCACTACTGTATTGTTGGACGCTAATCCATAAATAACCCATAAACCTGCTCAAACATTTTGTACGTATATTTAATTTTTTTATTTTAATATCCTTTATTAAATTATACTTCTGATATTTTTGATTTATAATATCCAAAAAATATATCGGCAAAAAGGATTCGTCGTTTTACCGTTTTCGTCTACATTGAAATCCACATAAGTGAAATTGTGCGTATAGAGGTAGTTCTTAGTATTGACCTGCAAACCCGGCAACTCTATTTCGCAATTGACGAAATGTCGATTGCAATCGGATTCCGAGTAGAGATCAAATCGAAAGACCGTCGCTCGATTTTGGGGATTGTAAAAGAATGATTTGTTGTAAACTACATGTCCGTTACCCTAAAAAAAATATCGATCACAAGCTTAGTTCTCACTTGAAATTTCTTCGCCCGTCAAACATTACAATTTTATATGGTTTTTAAAATTTGTATTCTTATCTTGTTATCATTTTTTTATATTTTTATAAATCTTCAGAAATTGTGTGAATATTAGAGGTGTCTGTTGCTTTTTTCTCTTTTGAATTTTTAAACTACCAACCTGAAAAGCATAGGGCAATTTTATCGGAAGACCCGTATCATTTTTGAAATGTTCCTTCGATTTGAACTCGTAGATGTAGGACATGTCACGAGTGTTATTGCGTGTTACAAAGAGTTTATCAGACATGACGTCATGAGGATGTCGGGAGAACGCGTCGTGCATCCAACTTCCATAATAGTCGTCCATGCTTCCTTTTAGCACAGGCTTTCCCACGGCTTCTATCATACCTTCTGCAAATTTTATCGATGTCAATTATTAGTTTTCAAGTGCCGAAAAAAAAATCGACATGAAGAAGTTTTATTTCTCTTTGCAATACTCGTGGACACTCCTTTGATAAGTACTTGGTCAATTACATAAACTTCTGCGAACATTATGACACTGCATTTTTTAATCATTAATTATATATATTTTTATGTTACGCTTGACCCGCCATAGATAATTTTAGAAAAAGATGAATTAAAATGAGTCAAAAGGATCTCTTGTAATTAAAATAATATTAAATAAAAATGATTATCTTATAATTAAATAATTTTATTTTTTAAAAAGTTTCTATTTTTCTCACGTAAATATTAAAATGTCTAAAGTCAATAAAAAACATTTTGTCGATTTAAAAGTTGCACGAAGGTATTCTCGTCCCGTTACATTTTATTTTAATTGTCACATTTATTCATCTTTCTTTTTAAATTTGCAAAAAATACTCATTTAATTAAAGCTCTGTATATACAGTGTATACAGTGGAGCTTACACTATTGCGAGCTATCTGTGTTTACACTGCAACCTCTATCTGTTGAAATTAATTTATCTACCGTCTCTGCACACAAGAACTAGTTGCTAGAATACATTAGTTAGAAATGATTAAACATACCGGCTAACAGCTGGGGTATCCGCGTAGTGTTAATACCACGCAATGGGTAAACGTGCACGTGTGCATCCAGTATGCCCGCGTACGTGCACTTTGGGCATGTCGTGCAGGTTTCTTGTGGACTGCATAATTCTTGTTCCTGATCGACGCTCGGAGGCATAGGATGACCATACGTAACGTGCTGGTCATTTCCTAACTTCAGTTTCTCTGCACTTTTAAGGTCATCTAGAATTATATATTATTATCATTGTATTAAAAAATTCAATAATAAAATTAATTTTCGAAAATGAACGATATATTTGAGGAGATATTTAAGAGACAAACTGAATTGGATTTAAAGAAATCTGGAATTTTTTAATGCAAAATTATTCAAGAAATATAAAAGCAAGAGTCGGGTATTCTTCACATTTTTGAGAATTTAACTCGATGAATTTAATAAACTGTATAGATTTTTTGTTGAGAGAATTAAAAATCTTAAATATTAGTTTTGCTTGCAAATACTTTATTGTAAAATTATAATAACAATGCACTCAATATCAGGTCAAATAGAAGAACATGACTCTTTTATTTTAATGTTATAATAATTAATTAGAAAATTCTGTGATGGCTCTTCGTTATTTATTATCAAATGATATCGAGTAAAATGATGAAACAAACCGTTTACTATAAAGGTTCCTTTGGTAATGTCAAGCTCATTTTTCGCCACACAATAGTAAGTTCCATGATCCGACGACGTCACTCTCGTGATTCTTAGCTTCATCTTCAACTTTTCGGAATAATTTCACGTGCATTACAAAAGGCGTCACAAGTTGTAATGAGATGAAATAGTAGCAAGCGAGTAAAGAGAACGATTTTGCATATTATCGAATTTATGTCAAATATGCAAATGTTATATATACATTTTCTACTTTAAATATACAATAGCCAGACGAGAGAATTAATAGAGAAGCGCAAAAATTAATGAAATGCATGCAGTTCGATAAAAATATTACCTTGTAATTATCTCGTCTGTCATAAACCTCCGTTCTGTATTTATCCGACATTTTCAAACGGCGACCATCGCCGCGTTCCCAGTGTACCACCGGCTCGGGGAAGGCTTCCACTTCGCATTCCAGCATTGCCGGATTTTGATTTCGTACGATAACCACTTTGTTACGTATACGAATAAACGGCGGAACTGGAACACGATCGATTATCAGTTTTGTCTCTACTTGCATCTATATCCGTTCGAATAAAAAATATTGGTTCTTTCGGAATTACTCACTCTAATAACGTCTACAAATTCTATACATTTATCTTCGAAGGTTTATTAAATTTTTTTTTATAATCACTACAGAATCATTAAATATACATGTATCATCATCTATATGCATTCACATAATATATGTTAAAATTGATGTAACAAACAATTAGAAAATAATAATTATGTGGCATGTTTCAAAGCAATTAATACAGAAATAAAATAAAATAAAATAAAATTCAAAAGAAATTATAAAAATATAAAGTATAAGAATATTGAAGAGAGACGGTTAAGAAAATTTACATGAAAAATGAAAAATTATATTATGCATTTATAATATGCATTTTTAAATATATTATACACATATCATAATTTTCTTTTTATTAAAAAAGATTGCGACGTGCTTACATCTGACTTGAAGTCTAAACTTTTTGGAACTTGCGGGTGATATTCCGTTGTTAGCGTTACACACATAATCGCCCATATGTTCCCGGGTTATCACGCTGATATTAAAAGTATGACCCATAATCGAACTCACTAAAGAATCGTAAAATTATTTTATATGAAAGCTCATTATATAATCTCTCGCTTGTTTATTATCCGTTATTTATTATTGCAAATTATAAAAGTCTTTTATACCGTGCCAAGTTCCCATGGGTATCGTGGAACCGTCTATTTTGGTCCACTGTATAACGGGTTGCGGTTTCCCACTAGCGGCGCATCTCAGTCGTATATTGTTACCTTCTTGCACGGAAATTACATCGCTCGCGTTTAATGACGGTACAATCTCTAAAACGTCGATTTTTTTATAACACTTTTATAAATTTATAATATTATGATTTTAGTAAATTGCGTAAAAAGAAAGAAAAAATACATTAATCTCGCTAAAAAAAGTAGAACACCGATAATCTTTATCCTACCTACGATGGATGGTGGTATCAATATACTCTCTTGTATACCATGGTGGTCATTGATGTTCACTTTGTAAGCCTGTATACCTGGCGTGCCGTCTTTTCCCGGAATTCCGGGACGACCAACCGGACCTACGTCTCCTGATGCATAAAAAAATTCATTTGTGAAACAAATGAAGGGCTGAAATCACTGGAACATTATTACCCACCGCGAGGTCCCGGTGGTCCTTGAGGCCCCATTTGACCGGGTCTTCCTAAATAAATATAAAATTGTCATAATATTTTCTATTTATAAAGTAACGAAGATTTTATATATTACTATATATTACTTAATATTAATTTAATTTATATATTACTTTGCTGTAAAATGTTGTAAAATATGTTGCAATGTATGATGAGTGAAATTTATATGAAAGAGATAAAAATGTACGATGAAAGAGGTAAAAGTAATAAACAACATTTTTCTATATAACAGTGAGATGAAATTATCTCTATGTAATAAACAGTAAAAATATTAACAAGCAGCATTTTCATTAAGCAATATACATTTCTCTTGGATAAAAATAAAGATTTGGCCGCTTTTCTATGCATTTATTTGCTTTTAAGCCAAGTACTTTTCTTTACATTTAATCGCATGTTTATTTGTAGCATGCATATCTTTCTTTACGCCGATTTTTTAATTGTGTTCAAGTTATTCTATATTTAAACTTACCATCTGTTCCATTTCTTCCAGGCGATCCGGGCGATCCGTTCATACCCGGCTTACCATTGGTGCCAGGTGTGCCATCCATGCCACTTCTACCGGGAATGCCATCCAAACCGGGCTCACCTGGCACACCGTCTCTTCCATCGAATCCCGGTGGACCGATGTCGCCTTTGGGTCCTCTGATGCCAGGATGACCTGGTTGTCCAGGAGGTCCTTTCGGTCCCACCAATCCCTGGATACCTGGCAAACCTGGCTCGCCGGGTGGACCTGGGTTTCCAGGAGCACCAGGGAGGCCCGGTGGACAATACTTTGCGGATGAACGGCAAAAATTTTCGATCGCATCGAACTGAAACACAAGGTAAGTGGATGGATGCTCGAGCAGAGAGGCTCGAATATTATACACTATTTTATATTAAATTGTTTAAACCTTTTTTACTATATTGTAAAAAATTTATATATTTTTTATAACTTCTTTTAAAGTATTTTTATGACCTACTCCAATAACTGCTTTTAACAATATTGAATTGTAACTTTAAAATTGTTGTAAATTTAAAATATTTGACTTTAACGATTTATTTTATAGATAATTTTTCAAAAATGTGTGAACGAAAAATATATTATTTTAAACTCAATATCCCGTCCAGTTTGAATCTAATTCTCACGTTAAAAAAAGAAGCTTGTCTAAGCGTATTCATGTTTGCACAAACATGAATACGCTTATGGTTGTTGTAATAAGGGAAATAGGTCTAAAAAACACTTAGCTCCCCTATCTCCATGTATTCTACATACGCGATACTCTATATAGGTGACGGAACTCATAGTGAGGAACATCACGGCAAAGTTCGAAGTTTGACGAGAACATTAGACGAGGATGTATCGCGAAGCAGGTAACTAGTTCTAACAATCACAGAGAACTGACTTGTATTCGTGTGTCGGCGTTCAACCAGACCCAGCTTGGGTCTTGACCTCCGGCCGCCGTTGGCGAAGACGCAGAGCCAGAGACCATAATGGGGGAGGCTGTTACTTTCTTTGTACCTTGTATTTCCTTATCCTCTCGAATCTGCAACCGAGTAATCCATGTAATTCCACGATATTATACGCGAGAGATCCAAGATATTTCTAAAGAAATTAAATTAGGAAATTTAATCTCTGTTGGAAAATATTGCAGATTTAAATTCACAAAGAATTAACAAACCAAAGTTTTCTCAATTGCAAAATTAAAATGTTTTTCTTTATCTTATTATATATACAGTGTGTGTGATTTAAACGTATATATTCAATTATTTTTCTAAATAATAGAGTTATAAAATGTTTCGAAAAATTATTTTTTATTTAAAAAAATGTATGTAATGTGTGATTACAAAAATATTGAATTATGTTTTTCAATATTGGCCATAGAACGATTATTTCAATGAATTTTATTTTTTCAAACAAAATAATATGTCGATTTCACTACAATTTTGTAAGATATTTTATCACAAATTCGATAATATGCAATAAAATACAATTTTCAATAGAATTTTTCATAAATAACTTGAGTATATATATTTAAATCACAAATATACACTATATATATAAAATTGATATAAAATATTTTTTTCTAATAATATTTAATCTTTTATTACGAGAGAGGTAATATAAAAAAATTTCAGACTCTTTCCTCTCTTTATAAAAAATCCGACTTTTATTTTCACCAATAGAATTGAAAATTTCTTTTTTGTCGTTAAAAAATGATCTCTTTGTGAATTATACGTATATATACTTTATACGTACTCTACTTGTTATGTCAGAAACGGCATTGTCTTCACCGATTGGTAATGCACTGCTGCGTCTTCGGCGCGGAAGTGCCACGGTCTCCAGTGGATACTGACTTTTTACCAAGCGAAGATCGCTCTCCACGTTCGTGACATACTTGTATAGATAGATTGATGTGAAAAACTGAATGATAAATTGCAGCAAAATGAGAATGAGTAACACGCGCGGTTGGAGCATCCATCGTTGCACTAGTAATGCACTCTTGCTGTTCATGTTGACGCAGTTAATTTTATCCCTGCAAAAAGTTGTGCTTGAAAAAGTTACTAAATGATGCCAATTTTGCACGTAAAAAAAGTAGAAAAAAATTGAAAAAATAAAAGAATCTTCAAAAAAAATACTAACGCGACGATAGGATAATCCTGCTCTCTCCTAGAAATACTTTAAAATAAATTTAAACTAACTTTTCGTTAAATCGTTAATCGAGGATAATTAATAATATAATTCATATATTACACATGTTCAACACAAAAATTATGAATAATAATACGTGTATATTAACGTGAAGACGCGACGCGCAACAGAACGCAACTATCTCAATTGAATATATCTGCCGCACCGCGAAAGAGAGAGAAAGATCAAGGGAGAGAAGCGTATAGATCTATGCCGTCTAATTGGTTACTATCAAGTGGAATTGACTCTATATTAAACTTCTGTAGCATCTCCACCAGTTTCCATCGCTCCTATATCGTTCCGTCACTCTTTCACAATTCTTGACACAATTTTTATTATACATTTCTGTAATATCTTAATGCTAATTTTTTTAAACTGTAACTATTATATTTTCGCGAGGCACTCGTCAATGAAAAAAAAAAAGAAAACTTACAATCTATTCTATAATATTTAATTTCGATGCTGGACGATTTTTTTTCAACGCAAACATTCGGGAAAACAATAGTTAGCGCGTTAACAAAAACACAATTTGCACGGCGTTTGCGGTGTCTATGTTCCTGTCCTAATGTAAACTAATATAAACCGTGAGCCGGTGCGCCTGTCGTCGGCTCAGCACAGACGAGACGCATGCGTTGAGCATTTCTCTTTCTCTCCCTGTGTATTACACTACGACCAATTGTCATACGTTGCGCGTGTACGCGTGAGATGTGCGTGGCGTCGTGGTGTGTGATGGAGAGAGATTTGCACGTTTATGAATGCAACGCTTTGTCATTTTGTCACATATCGTCGCAGTCATACACGGTATAGACAACGAATGCGTTCCAGTATTAATTAAAAAAATCAATCTCTCATGCTGTAACAGTTCCTTTCTTGTAACGCCTCGTTATGACTCGCCGAGCAACGAATTACTACTCGATATAGTGATTATTAAATAAAATTGATTATGAAATTTACATGAATGAATTTTACATATTATAGAAATGTGTATATATATTGTGTGTGTATAAATTTCCAATTACAAGTGTATATACAAAAATTTTATATATATAAATTATAATTCGATAAAATGATGAAAAAATAAGATAGATATCCCGGTAAAAAACATTTACAAATAGGTAGACAAGATATATATCTTTATTGAAGACATTTAATTGCACTCTTACGGTAAAATATCACAGTAGAAACAGGGCTTTCTGTTCCCCCGATAGTCGAAGGTATATAAATTGATTTTTCTTATATATTTTTCTTATATATAGCAGTGCTCGGAACTAAAACATTTGCTCGTTAATCATGTGAATTCACTTGACCATTGATGACCATAGATTGTCTGTCTTCTTCACGTAAAATAATTTCTATGTCATGTTTGAGATCTTTATCTGCGTTTATCTCTACATTTTGTTTCGAAGCCTGTAAACAATAAGTTTCATTAGAAATCGTCAATTACGTAAGCACTTTTCTCTTTTTCTATAATATCGCTTCTCTTACTAAATCCAACAACGCTAAAAAGTATCTGGCCACGTCGTGTTCATTTTCAATAACGGCGTCAAAACTGATTCTTCGTTGATCATTTGTCTTGAAAGTCTCTATAATTCGAGACGCATAATCACGAATGCAAAACGTCGATCTTTGCTCGGCCTCGCGTAATTTAGGTTGCATCAATTCATGCCACTTGTCAACATTTTTCTGAAATCATTATTCGTTGATGAAATGTTACAACTAATATTTCCAAGGACGACTTCATTATTCGTCTATTTACTGAGAAGTGCGGTGAGTCCGATTGCAACCAAATGTCACAGAAATTTTCATGCGGAAGCGACATGTCTATGGGACTCGAACTGCGAAGTGAAGAGACTTCATTAATCAAAGTGTCCGTTATATTGTTATCGCTAATATTCGTATTCGTTTCCACATTAACGCATAACCGAAATCCTAAGAGATCCAAATCTATATTCGTAACATCGTTGTATTGCGAAGAATTGTATTCTCGTATATATTTTATACAGGTACTCAAATTTTTTTTGAACATATTTGGTCTATCTGCAAAACAAATTTCAACGTTTAGTATATATCAATAAATTTATATTAGACTGTGAAGAATTTATTTTCACTAGAAAAAACTGTGATAAACCTTTTTGTGAGGGCGTCGATTCCTCCAAAATATGCGCGAGATTTTTCTTTACTATTTGTCCTCTTTTACTTGGTGTAAGCATTTCGTTTTTTGTTATCTGGCCAAATTTTCGCTTAATCTATAAGCAATTCAGTAATATTATCAAGCATTATTAGTTAATAATAAATTTTTAAATGCTATTATATACCGATTTCGATGTGGATCTCGAAGACCGCGATTTTATTTTACTCTTTATATTGCTATTTGGAGGAGTATTTTGTATAATATTGGTAGCTAAATTTATTTTCGAAAGGTCTTCATTTGTGTCATTTATCAAACCTAGATCATCCGTCGATGATGTTCTAAAATAATATCGTTGATTTTATTATTCTCACATAAAATTGCTGCAGTAAGAGGTTACAAGTGTAGGAAAAATATTAAAAATACCTTCTATCTTTTGAATTTACAGACTCTGGCGGACTATCTAATACACTACTACCATCTATACTTTCTCTATTATTCAAATAATTATCATCCAAATCTTTATTATTCCATAAAATAGTATTATTGATGTCAGTTATCAATGAGTCGGTAGTGTTTGACATATTTGGATAGATTTTTTTTGAGCCATCAAGTGTATTGTTGATACTAGCGTTCTCGGATAAAGATAAATTTTGCTGAGATGATTCTAAAGATGTAATTAAATCAGGAATTTCTTCTTCCAGCGAATCATCATTATTCCTTTCAGACTCAGTATCACTATTTTGATCATTGTCAGTATCAGCATTTTGATTATTGTCACTGTATATTGTACATTCTGGAGTTGATAAAGATATAGAATTATCACTGTCGCAACAGAAATCTGAAACAAAAACGATGGAAAATCTGCAAATTATTAGATTAAATCAGAAATTTATCCTACTAATCAATTATATACCTTGAGGCGCAAACTCAACCAAAGCATCAACCAGTACACCATCTATACTTATATTTTGATTGCAGCTACAACATATTGTCAGATATTATTATCTTACAATGAAATAGATGCATCATATTATATTATATAAAAAAATAATTGGATACTTACCGAAAATCATATTTTTTACCTATGACTTCTCCATTTACATCATAAATGTCAATGGAAACATGCTGTGCGATACCCTTCTCTAATTGAACAAAGCAGCGATTTTTTGATTTGATAGTATTCACATGTGTTGTATTCTTTTTAATATTAATATTCTTATCTACTTCTTTTGCAAAGTTAACAGTTTTAAATTCTTGAAAGCACATGTCAACTTTTCTATCTCTTTTCTTTATAGAATTCTGTGTTACTTCTTCCTGTCTAAGAGAGAAATAATTTAATATATATATAAATTTTTTTTAAATTATACATATACATGTATGTGTATGACCTATATATTATAATAACATACTCACTCATTATTTAATAATAAATTTCTAGAATTTTCTGTTATATTCCAAAGAGAATCGACTCTATGGACATATACAGCTGCAGAATTTTGCAGGATAAGCCCAGCTTCGCCAAAACTTTTATTGCATGTTGCATTGAATAGTGTACAATATTTTTCCAAAGTCTGCAATATGAGATTATCTTAACACATTATCACTATGTTAACAAAATATTTCAAAGCAAATTGATGACATTAGATATACCTGTGAGAAGGGGAAATTCCATTTTGATAATTCTTTCACTGGTTTCGTAAGTTGCAGACCAATATCTTGTACGGTAACCATCTTTGTTCACTCATAAATTTCACGATAATCCGCATACAAAACATAAATCTATCAATCACTGTAAAAAAAAAGCGCTATTGATATTTTCTTTGTAATGATTTATATCGGATAAAAAATAAAATGATCGAAATTCTCGTGAAAGAAATGTGTTCTACTCAAAATAATGCAAGTGTTTTGCAACAATAAGGAAAAAACAAGTGGAGATGATAGTGTCTTATCTTATTATTAGCAAGATATCAAGACGCATACTAATCAAGGAGGAAGATATATATTCAATATTTTTTCACCTTAATTACGTTGTATTTTCTCGAGGATTTTGCACACTTTTTTATCAGATTTTTTTATCATTACTCGAAAACACTCAATCACTTAACCTAACGATAACAACAACACCAACTATCGCTTCTATTCACTTCTATTGCTGTGACTTGAGCATCGATTGTAAAACATGTAGTCGGGCAATCGCATGTTTGGTTTGCGAGTCGTTGTAGATGACGCACCGCAAACGTCAAATATGGGCTGCGGTCAAGTCTGCACTACGAATGCTTTGAAACATCATTCTATCTTTGTTCTATATTCCATGAGAATGAAGATAGAACGATGTTTCAAAGCATTCGTAGCACAATCTTGACCGCAGCCATGGAGATTCATCAGTCTCGACATTTACTTTAAACTGAACAAGTACGGCACAAGTTTTATTTATTTCTTCTATATGAAAATTAATTAATTTTGTCGTGCGCAATGATTGCATTAATTCAATTTTGCCCATAAATTTTCTTGGACAACTTTTTCTCAAATTTTAAATAGACAGCATTATGGATCCGCCAATATTTCTCGAGCATTGCCAGACTATATTTCAAAAGTTGGCGCCATCATTTTAGTTTGCATCGCTAGCGTCATTTCTCGTGTTTGCGTAATATCATGGACTAATCGGACTAATCTATCGGAACAGATTTAAATCGGCGGCTCTCTCTCGCTATTTTACATTGGTTGCGTTCAGCAGAAAAAGTTGCTCTGCAACTGTTGTAAAATTCGTAAACCTGATTAGTGTAGGCTCTTAATTTTGACTAAATCTAAGAGCATACATCAATCAGATTCACGAATTTTACAACAGTTACAAAGCAGCTTATCCTGCTGAACGCGGACATTATTTTTCATCGAAACATATATTCTTTTAATATTAATTACCAGGTTAATAAGGTATTAATATTGTTCTCATTTTTACTAAGAGGTTAATAGATGTGTATATACGAGAGAATTTGGAATTGTAAATAATTTAAAATTCTTTTAATATGTTACAGAGCACGCTTGTTTGGATCTTTCATACAACGAGGGAAAGCTGTACATATACCTGAGTCCGGAGATAAATCAGGTATGTAAAATTCACTCGAATTTTAGAGTATCATATCAACAACAGATGAAGATAACATCAGCAGTCAAAATCAATCTCTCAATCGCTTCAGTCTATAATCCAGAAGCGTTTCGCGATGCCAGAAAAAATTCAACGTCGTCATGAACGAATGTCAGGAGCCATTCAAGATCCTTGCGTTTGAATTGAATAAAATATTATCTCGATAATAACAAGGTAATTAACAGGGTAATTAACAAAGGAGCTAGGACAGAAAAATTGCCAAATTTTGCGATCTCGAAATCTGAATTCCCGAATAATAGGGAAGAGGGAGGAGGGTACATATGTCATAAGGCTGGGTGGCGCGAACCACGCATGCGCGAGCGAGCGAGAGCGCGATATACATATGCACCCGATGTGGTTTCCCTCGATTTAGTGTAACGGCGACCGCGGTACCGTTGATACCGTTCATTAATTCGTATCTAATCTCGGACAGGCCTCCCAATCCCTCCCCGTCTTACACACTTTACTATCCGTGTTTCTCTTCCTCTTTCTCTCTCTCTCTCTCTCTCTCTCTCTCTCTCTCTCTCTCTCTCTCTCTCTCTCTCTCTCTTTTCTTCCCCTCTTTCTTTCCCATATACGCGTATGTGCATTTCCATTTGTTTCGCTCTCTCTTCTTTCTCCTCTCGGTTATTCTACCTCTATCCCTCATTCGTTCCCTGTGTTTCTCTCCACCGGTTACTCTCTTTTCTTTCATCGTCCGCTTTCGACGCACATGCGTAATCATCCCGCGTAGAAGCGCGCAGTCCTGACAGCCTCCAAGAGACGGGAAAAGAGACGGAAGATAGATAGACCCGTCGCGTTCGTCTTCGTCTCGCGGCGGTGCACACGCAAACACCCACACACGTGCGCGTGGACGTGTCACACAGCGAAGGTGCGCGCGCACAGTCGGCGGTCTCGGGCAGGCAGCGAGCGATAGCAAGCGGGAAGCGAGCTAACCGGAGTACAAATCATCGTCGTCGTCGTCGTCGTTGTTCTCGTCCCCGTCTAACTTGCCCCGGATGCGCGGATGCCGTGGTCGCGGCTCGCCGGTCGCCTTCGCCAGCGATAATCACCGTGTCACCGGTTATCACCGCGAGCCACCAGCTTAAGTCGGTCGAGTAAAGTCGGCGCCGCGGCTTGGCCTCTATATGAAAAGGGGCATCAAGGAGAAAAGGCCGTCCCGCACCACCGTCGTCGTCGTCGTCGTCGTCGTCGCGTCGTCGCCGTCGTCGCCGTCGTCGCCGTCGTCGCCGTCGTCGCCGTCGTCGCCGGCGCAGTCGATACCGCCAGTAGGGTGGGAGAGTGGGTCGACGGGACCACGAGGAACTGAAGTGCGCGACAGTCCCGCGCTCTCGGTGACGACGACAGAGTGGCATCCCCCCGGGGTAAGAACGTGCGACTCGACAAATTTCGGAGTAGATCCACACGGAATAAGTAATCGATTCGCGAGTGCGTGAGCGCTTTCCCGTCCCGTCCTGCTGTCGTTCGATTCATCGCCACTCCTCTCTCTCTCTCTCTCTTTTTTGTCTTTTCACCCTTTCCCTCTCTCTCTCTCTCTCTTTCTCTCTCTCTCTCTCTCTTCACCCTTCATCTCTTTTCGATTCTTCATCGGGTGCTCCGAAATTTCGTCTTTTTCTCCACTCCGAATTCTCGCTCTCTCTCTCTCTCTCTCTCTCTCTCTGGACTCGATCTCTCTCCCAGGTGCCGCTCCGGCTGTCGAAACCGCGCCGTCCTCGCCATCGTAATTAAAGCCTCGTCGTCATCATCATCATCATCACCACCATCACCATGACCATCATCCACAATGGTGGAGGTGGCGGTGGCGGCGGCGGTAGCGGCGACAAGCGGCGGCGAGCGGCGACACGGTGCCACCTCCTCGATTCTAGGGAATCGAGCGGTTGGTCGGTCGGTCGCCGAGCGCGAAAGGTGCGCGAGAATGCCCGAGAGAGCGGCTCGAAAGTGCGGGTAAATGTGTCGGTCGCGTTACAAGACGTGAAGCGCGAGCGCGAGAAGCAGGAGAAAGAGCGAGGAAACGAGAGAAGGAGCGCGAGAGATAAAAAAAAAGAAAAGAAACGAGAAAGAGAGAGAGAGAGAGAGCGCGAGGAGGAGCGAGGGGTAGCCGGGAGAGGGAGAGGAGGACGCTCGCGAGCGCGCGCGCGCGCGCGCGCGGGGGCAGCCGGAGGTGCGCACGGTAGAGCGAGCGAGTTTATTTTTAGTGGCAGAAGGTGAAGAAGGCGGGCGAAGAGCACCGCGCGGAGTGGTATTAAGCGGCAGCACAGTGGCCCGATGAAGCGGCGTATGTGACACCGGGCTTTCCTCTCTCTTGCCACCGTCGAGGAGAAGAAGAGACACCTCGCAGACATCTTGCTGCCACCGTCCACGGTGAGTAGAGTATGTCGCCACACTGCCGTCGCCACCCCCACCCACCCTTCCGCCTTCCCGCACCCGCGCCTCCACCTCTTTCTTCTCGCCCTCTCATCCTTCCCTTCCCTTCCCCTCCCCTCCGCGAGGATTGATTCGCCATTCCGCCCACCAGGACACGAGCCTCCGCTATCTCCACCTCCTCCTCCTCTCCCCCCTCGCTCCTCGCCTCTTTTCCCTCCGTCTTGTTTTTTCTCTCTTTTCCTCCTTTTATTTAAATATATATTTGTCTCGTTGTCCCTATTGTTTTACTCGCGAGTATATTTACGTTGTTTCTTCTTTGTTTTTTCCTTCTCCCGTCCCCCTTTTTGCTACCCTCGATCGTGCCATTTATCCATCCATCCATTTAACTATACGTACGTACGCACCCTTCCGTCGAGCGTTCTCTCTCTCTCTCTCTCTCTCTCTCTTTTCATCCTCTTTGTCTCTCTTCCTTTCATAGAAAATACCTCGGGGGAGCTCCTCGTCGTCGACCATCGTCCACTCCCCATCCCCACCAGTTTACGTCGCCCTCTCCGCTTCACCGTGGAGTTACGAAAATTATGTAACATGCGCTCGATCCGGGCGTTTCTTGTTCCGTTCTCCTTTCTCATCTTCCTCTCTCTCTGGATATCACGCTCCGCTTCCCTTCCCCCCTTTCTCCGTTCCGTCGCTGTTCCTCTCCCTTGTGCTCCGTGCCGTTCTTCCGAACATTATTTCGGGAGTGCCAGCAGACCTGCCAGCGGACCCTGAGAGCGAGCGAAGAGAGAAAGAGACCGATGGAGAAAGAAAGAGAGAGAGAGAGAGAGAGAGAGAGAGAGCCCCGGGATCGGGCAGGCGCATTGTTAAAGGAAACCGTTTCGATTAGGGATGCAAACCGGTCGTGCGTGCGCCAGCACCAGATACACCGTCACCGATCTTGAGATCCGAGTCCACCGACACCGCGAAACTCGCTCGCTCGGCTCTTCCATATTTCCTCAAACTCCATTATCCCCGACATTCCGCCGTGCTTCTCGTCGCTTCTGAGCTCGGTGCCAAGATCTCAAAGCTGCTCGCAATCTCGACCAAGTTTCTCCGCGTTCGAGATAAGATCGAGCTCTCAGGAGCTTCCTTCCGAAACCTCGATTCGCGTCACGCGAGCGTGGATAAGAAGGAGAAAGAGAGAGAGATACCGGGTATAATCAATACATTGTATTTCAGAAATCTTTCGTCCTCGATTCGCAAAAAGTGCGTAGCATCGTTTCATTTTCTTCTAGCGTAACTTTGCGAGAGACGGAAATTATTCAGCGACAGCGATTATCCTCGAGCAAAGAATTTCGAGCTGCAACTGTCGAGGAATCTCGACTTTGAGGGGAAGAAACGAAATTAAACAACCTTATCAATGTGATTAACTTTGTACGCGTGCATCGCGTGTCTCACGTGCTCCTCGCGATTGATTCCACGCCTTTGCATCGCGTGTAACTAGTCTTTCGTTGGCTTCCGGTGCCATAGATCTCTCCGCGAATATGCGAGGTCTCTCTCTCTCGAGGGAGACTTTCTCTCTCGGAACACATAAGAGAGAGAGAGAGAGAGGGAGAGGGACCTTTTTTCTCGCCGAAAGATGCGAGCACCAGCTGTACTGGTCAACTCCGACTGTAATACGCGTGAAGCACAGTCGAAGAGACTCGCCTTTGTCCCGCTTTCGTGGTATCGACCCGATACGGGTGACCTAGACTCACTTGCCGAGGAAATATACCCAACCTTTGACAGCCACTCGTTCGCTCGCCTGCTGGTTCGTTCGTTCGTTCGTTCGTTCGTTCGCTCGTTCGCTCGTTCGTTACGACGAAACCGGCCCGAAACGAATCGATAGAGGGTCGCCAATAATTACGCACGTGCGAGGCTCGCGCGCACAACGTCGTCGACGAAGACGACGACGACAGGGAAAAGAACTGCGCGGGATAGGAAATGCCGAATGTGTTTGGAGGCAGTTGAGTTTATTTCGGTGCTGCCGACGACGGTCGGAATTTGGTATCGAACCGCTCTCGCACGCGTCTCCTTCCCTCTGGTCGTCGTCGTCGATTCAGCGTGCGCTTCTTGCTCGAGGGGACGCTTATTTTCCTGCCCGTTTTCATGCCTCGCGAAAAGGAGCGACGTCAAAATGTTTGGCGGGTTACGTCTTGCCGTTGACGGAACCCGAATACCAGCCATCCGAGGGTGACTTTACGAGGTGGAGATTCGCGGCGCCTTCTCGTCGAAATGGATCCTCCGTCAAATGAAATTTCGACACTCGTATAATGATCGACGACAGCTAGCGGAAATGTAAATATAGTAATTGCGTACAGGCGAGATTCCGCTTTCAGCTTTGAGCCTCGATGGAAACGCGAGATTATATTTGCAAAAGAGTCATTTGGATATTGGACGAGTGAAAAAACCTGGGGGGATTTTTATGTCATCGCGAGCGATCGGGCGGTACCGGGTTAAAGATTTTTCTCACTTTTCTTCCGTAACATGTTCTAGAACTATAACGTTAACTAATATTAATGCTATCGTTACATCTCACACGCGAAGGAGTGTGAGGAGAAAAATTATCCCGACTTTTCTTCAATGAGATGATATCTACGCAAGGTTTATGTACATTGTAAAAATATATTTTTAATTATTAATAATTGCATATTATTTTTTTTTATCAAGAGAATTATTGCAACAGCAATGCTAATTATACCCTCGTATGCGACCAGCTTAATTAAAAATATCCGAAATTTTCGACTCGACATAATCGACAAATCGTCGTTCTATTTTTACTTTATTTTTAAGATATATATATCTTTTTTTAATTTTATAGAAACACCTCTCTCTTTCTCTCTCGTGACAGTCGGATCGCGAGCGATCGCTTGTAAAATTAGGTAGGAAAACTTCCTGCATGACGCGCGTTCTGTCAAAGTGTCAGAATGAGAAAGCGAGACGAAAATATTTATCGTTCTTTCTTTACTTTATCTTTAAGATATATATATATTTTTTAATTTTATACAAACACCTCTCTCTCTTTCTCTCTCGTGACAGTCGGATCGCTTGTAAAATTAGGTAGGAAAACTTCCTGCATCACGCGCGTTCTGCCAAAGTGTCAGAATGAGAAAGCGAGACGAAAATATTAAGTTTTGCCGGGACACTTGCCAAGATACGCGCGAGAGAGAGGAGAGAGAGAAGAGAAGACCGATTAAGGGTTAATAACGTCGGCGGAACTCGACTACCCGAGTGTTCCCGGCTTGTTTATAGGATGTAGAATTGCGGCGTAAGACTCGAAACCGCGCTCACGGCTCGCGTCTCGTTCCCGGGAGATGGTAAACCGAGCGTAGCGCGCTGCAAGTAGAAATAGACAGTCGCTGTCAGACGCGCGCCTCAACCGCGGTAGCAACCGAGCCATACTTGATCGATTAATCGATGTCGGACGCGTCTTTCGCTCGGGAGCTTATCATTCTTTCCAATCTCCGCAATTTCGCGTGCGAATCTTCTCTTTAATATTTTTTTTTATCTCCCTCGTTGGATCTTGCACCGGTATCGAGTTATTCGATGCTGATATTTTTCGCTCGAGTCCGTTCGAATTATCGCGATTTTTTTTTCCAGTCGGAAATGGAAGTCGATTTAATCTGTGCGCGTAATTTTTACGGCATCCGTATTGTAAAGCTCACATGGTATTGTTTATCTTATCCCTCGTGAAAAAACGCGATATGTATTCTCAATAGAAATGCGACAGCTGATACGTTATCGTTATCGCGTTAATAATTCATCCTTTTCAATTGTCAATATTTCAAGTACAGATATGTTGTAAGACACATTTTTTTACGTACCCGCGTTTATATATTATCGGAGATTGGAATTTATCCGGTTTTATCGCATAAGAATCTCATTATTGTTTCTTCATTTTTGATTGCGAATTATAAATAACACGCTTGCAATCTCTTTCCGCCATCGGGCTGTGAACCGGTTAAAAATACGATCCGTATAATATCTAATGACTATAAATACATCGAATAACGTTTATATCATCCTCGCCAATCGCTAACTATTATTTGTAACTCGCGTTGCAGAACGCGTATGATGTGCACTACGCGAAGTCACGTCTCGAGACGAGCCAATTCGTAATTCGAAGAGTCAATTTTTTTGGATACGATTCAGCGCAACGCCTTCGATGCTATGAATATCTCGAAAAATGTGTACGTTGAGGCATATAACGCGAAATCTCATGTACACAAATTAACGTGAAGTTAAGTCCAAGATTAGCGAATAAACTCTTGTTATTTACTCTCGCGTAATTGTATACATCTTCTTGCATCTCGTCAAAATTCCCTAATTCTCAATATTTACTGACTCTGAAGCTTCCGTCATTTCCCCTAAAGTAATCTCTCTATACTTCCGCTGAAGAAACATTCTCGATGATCCGGAGATATCCGATATAGTCTCTATACTCGTTCGTTAATATAGGGTTCGATATTTACTCGCGGATGAATAAAGCGAGTCGAGCTCAAGGAAGTTTAGGTAAGGTAAAGAGAGGGAGAAAGAGAGGGGAAAAGGGAAAGAAAGAGAAAAAAGAAGAGAGAACAGAATGCTTCGTCGACGCAGCGTCCTGTACATGTATTTCTAGCCGCCAAACAGTGGAAGCGCACATTACACGTGTCTTAGTTATTTTTAATCTCCGACGAGGTACGTACGTGTACCGGACCCCCGTCCCATTCTCCGCGCACCCTCTGAGCATTAAAAGTTATGTACCTGCCACCTAGTCAAATTTTTCGTCTCGGTGGTCCGCGACGAACACCAGACGATATAGTGGTTAAAAATATCGCGGATACACTTCCCCCGTAATTTCCGTACGACCGACGACATAACTCGATGACCTGATCCTCCCCCCTGGATCGAAACATCGCGATCGTCACAAGGAATACTAAACAAATCGTGCGGTGAAACGCGATTCATCGATCGTACATTATTAATTATTATTACAATTTTAATCGTGGAACGTTGTTCAATCTATTTTTAACAATATAATTAATAAAAAAAAGATACAAGTCTTAGCATTTTGTGGGAGAAATTTGCTCACTTGTTTTTATTTATCGATCTCCAAAAACATTCAATTATGAATATTTTAATTAAAAGGAAAGATTTGTATATATTTTTAGGATTTATGGAGAGAGTCTGTTCTGGGAGGAATAAAACGCTATTCGCGAGGCGGATTCAATCATGAATGCTCGATTGTGAGTTGAATCGAAGCATCTTAAAAATCTGTCTATCGTATGATTCGCTGAAATATTTCTCAGTTAAATCGCATCGTTCGATCCAACAAGTCATAATTACCAGCGCAAAATTAACGAAATTGCGAATGTGACTTCTCGCTCTCTCTTGTGCCGGAGAGCTTTCACAATTTATTATTTCGTTCTCGTGTGAAACACGCACATTTTATGTGGGGTACATGTTAAAGAAACGCGCATTAATTATTGTTGGAACGTTTCACATGTCGCCTTGACCTTTTCTTACGAACTGATATCGAAGTCGTCGCCTCATGGGATATTTAATATCCAATAAGAGCACAAAAATACACACATATACCTTACAAGTTGGGACTTTGTTTCGTTCGTCTTCCGACAGGGAAAAAAGCAGGAGACGTATACACAGAATGTCCCGGAAACCATCGAGCATTCATTTGAATCGATTTTATATCGGACGGAGAATTTGGAGGGCGTACCAGATTGCCTGGTAATTTTAGGCTATTCTCTGTTTCCTCGCGAGCTCGAATCGATACCCGAAGGTAGGAT